AGATTGTAAGACGCTTTAAATGTGTGATTACATTACAATTGTTAAAATTTCTATTCTACAACGATTGTCGAATAACGATTGTAGAATTTACTTTGTCAAAGCTCGGTAAAAAAAGATAGTTGCGAGAAGAGACTTTGCTCGCATAATTTTAGCAGGAACTAATTTTTATCATGAAAGATTGATTTTATATTCAGGACTCTTTGTTCTAGCGGCTAAACAAGAAAAGAAATCAAAATAAGTTTAAAAAACTAAGGCTAAATCTACAAATAGAGGTAAAGTAGGATATTAATTTTATAATTTTTTTTGGCAATCACTCATTTTTATCCGACTCCCACAAAAAGAAGAGGTTCTATGTTCATAGGTATAAATTTTTTTTATTATCTTCACCGATTTCCCGGAGATAGCTAGATCGATTTTGTTACTTTAAACTATATTCTATGGTAATGTAGGAGGCCAGGCTTTCGAGAAAATCAGGAAAATATTTGAAGTATGTTAACAGATCTAATAAGTCTTTATCAGGTGCTTTACTTCTAGTTGTAATATCGACTTGAAACTTTGCAAATACAAACGTATTTACCATGATAGTACAATGGTATAGTATGATCGTGCTGAACTGATGGTGAAGCCAGAAAGTGGGTAGTGGAACTCTTTAGCGGCTTCTATTAAATACTTAGAGTATAGCCTTATTTGGTTTAGCCCAAAACGTTAGAATTCGATTTTAGTGTTACTAATAAAAGCGATTTATAAATTTGTTAGTTTTCATATAAAAAATAACATGAAACTAACTTAAATGACATAACCGAATATTTTATTAAGATACTCGCGTCTTTCTTTGCTAGTACTATGAAAACACAAAAAATGAAAAAAAAAAAACTTTTGAAAATAAAAGGCAACCCACCAGACACCAAAAAGTAAAAAAAAACAGCTGAACGGGTTTTCTAATCAGATATTTTCGTGGAATGAAGTGCCTAATCAGATATTTTCGAATGGTATTAGTTATTTTATTTATTTAATTATAAAAATGAGCTATTTGACTTTGTCTCCCAGCCAGCGAAGTCCTGAGTTTTTTAGCTTCACAAATATTTTTTGTACTACACTTTCGAGGTTGTCAGCTGCTAGGGAAAATTGTTTTATGACATGCTCGTACATACGCTAACCCAGCGTTATTGACTGTGTGTTGTTTGTGAGTGAAACAGTGAGTGAAGTGATCTAAGATTTTCATTAAGTAATACATAATATTCATATGTATTCGTATGTACATAGAAATAGTAATTTGTATAAAATAATTTATAATTCAAATAAAATAAACACGGTCAGGATTTGTATAAATAGTTCTATATTATATTTTGTAATCATTACAAAACTTTTACTTATAAGATTTGCTAACTCTTACTTACTATGTTATATGTAGATTATCTTGTGATATTAAATGAGCAACTCATGTATATACATATTTAATTTTATATCATGCCTCTTGAAAGGGGTTTAATGATTTGGATAAAATTTTCTATTTAGTTAATTTTTAGATTTTTTAGTTTGTCTATATGTTATGTAGGTGTCTTTTCTAAAAACACGTGTTTTTTATATCTTTTTCGATAAAACACTGAGTGATTCACGGTCGCCCAGGTACTAAAACCTATTAGTCGTGGCCCAGCTCGGTCTAAAATTGTAAATATTAATAATATACTTATTTTTAAGTTTGTAATAGCTTAATAAATAATTAAAATTATTCATCATACTATAACGTAGGCGACGTACAACCATAATCATGGAATAAAACCGTACCGTGCTAATTATGAAAAACTTGATATTTTTTGATAAATAATAGAATATAAAATTTTTATTTATGCTGTTGACCACGTGTATCATATACGAGATATAACAAAATAACTGTTTATTGTTGACTATTTTAAGGCAACTTTAGAAATACCATGTTCTGCCAAAATATTTGTTGCACTTATGAGCAGTTCTGTTTAACCGAAGGCTGTTTGGAAATCTTCTAAGCTGCAGCAAATAATAAACCCTTTGCTCATAATGTACCAATTGGGATTTCTCATCCATTCTATTCGATTGCATATATCTTTACATGGTACATATTTTACTGCATCAGCTAGTTTTAATCCAGGTTTGTTGATTTGAATAATAGCAAGCGCTTCATCATTTTCAAAATTATACAGAACCTGTAAACAAGTTTATTTTATTTAAAGAGTTATCAAAGTATTTTAAATATGTCCCTTAATGAACCCAAAAAAAATTATTTTAAGATATGTTTTTATCACAGAAATCTTAATAATAAGCTAATAGAAGTGGCATAGACGCGTGACCTTGTCGCCGCGCATGTGACTCGTAGGTCACAAGCGCGTGTAAAGCGTTTGTTGCGGTAACTAGTGTTATTTGAGACACGGAGAGGTAAACATGGTGTTTTGCAGCATATCCAACTGCGGAAATTCTTCCACAATTTGTAACTTTACAAATAAAGGGATAACATTTCATATATAAGTACTTAATTTTTGAAATAATGTCGTTTTTAAGAAATATAGCCAAATCAAATGTTTTCACCACCACTACTACGATTATCGCAGGAAAACGTTTTTTTTTTTCAATTCAATAACCATTACCACTTAAGCTTGTTCATGTCTACTATTACAACTGCTAAAAGCAGCAATGAAATAATAGTCATGCGTAAAGAACATAATCGTCGCGTACGTAAATTCCAAGGACACGCCGCATAAGTTGACCGCGAATTAGTGACGTGCCACCACTATTTTTTATCGAAAATTTATTACGTTTGGCTTAATATTTTTCGTTAAATATTTAATTATTACATCTCATTATGTATGTTTTCTTTCTGTCTGAATAATTTATAAAAAGTCATTAATCAACGATTATCTGTAAATTAGTACTTTTAAACTACTTTTTCATTCAGAAAATTATTAGGAGGTAGGCTTATTATTGTTATGTATATGTGTAAGTCAAAAACAGTATGCGTTGAATATCCTTGTATCGTTGACATGTTCCGCATTTACCAAATTTTTTTTTGATTTGATTTGATTGAGTAAATAATTCTAAGGGCGAGTTGTTTGATAAACATAACATAGAAATTCTATAAAAAAATTTAAGTCATTGTTAAAAATGTATAGGATTTTAACAAATAGTTTGCATAACTTTTGTATAATAATAATGATAATAATAATAATATTTATTGCAAAGGTATACACCCAATTTAGAATATAATAATATATATGTAGTTATACAAGTCAATTTTTATATCACTTATGCATATATATGCAAGTCAATAAAAACATTATAAAAACAAAATTCAGTCAGACTCTTCATTAAATTAAACTAGAATTAAAAACAATATATCGCTGTTGAGTATATAGTAGCTGTTGAGTGTATAACTATATAATAATAAAAAAAATTATTTACTTTTAACGTTTTATTGTATTCCCTTTATGAAAATAAATAAATCGTCTAAAATCGCGTCGAGGAATGAAACATAAAACACTTTCAATAAATTAGTTACCTATTGTTGCAAGACTCAACGGAAAATTATCGATATGAGCATTTTGCGCTTTGTGCTGCACTAGAAGTGAGCGCGCGATATCATTCTGTGCTTTTCGCACACGTTTATTATTGGTCACAGGGATCACGCCATCTGAGATTATGCGTTTTTAGAAAATATTGCGTAATGTCATCGCTTAAAGTTTAATTTTTGTTGCAACAATGCAAAATGCATGTGTGAGCGATAGTGTGTATTTATTGTTTGTCAATGTGTTGGTAGCTGCAAGCCGGCGACACGCGTCCCAGTACTAAAAGACCGCAATGGCATTTCTATTACCTTATTATTAAGATTTCTGTGGTTTTTATTTTAACGTTAAAAATTAAAAGTATAAGTATTTTTCATCAAAATAATGTCAATAAGATAAGTAGAGACATAACTAATTACGAAGTTTTAAGAAAAAATATATAGTTATACCTTCCATATGTACGGCGATATCGGTTGTTCATTATATTGATCCGATAAGTATTTAGTTGTCGCGCCAGTCGCCTTTAATGTTTGAGATGATCTTGTCCAAACCTCGATAGTCATATTGAGACTTTTCACGAGCTGTCTAACTCGGGACTCTACTTCATCCCAGTTCTGAAATTAATTTGTTTGAGTTGAAATTCCATTTGATCGATTACAATAGAAATTTTTGGAAGTGTATGCTCACCAGTGGACGTCTTTCGTTTGAGACGAGTAACATTGAATGATGACATTTACAAATTAATATTGTTAATTGCCGAGGATATAGCACGTAAAGTTATGATACTTGATATTGTCCTTATTATTTTACATAAAACTAGCGGTTAACCCTCGCTTTACTCGTTTGTTAAGTTTTGACGCTTAGTATGGATAGATTTATTTTTTAATTTTTTTTTGTGGAGTTTTCCAATGTTTTAATAGTTATTCTGCTATTTGAGGTGAAGACAAATCCAACAAAACAGAGATCTTAAAAATCGGTATAGCAGTTTTCGAATTATAAGTGTTGTAGCAAACCCGACTTTGTTTTATATATTATATAGATTTAATTAACTTTCCAATAGAATGAATTAGGTGTAAGACTAGTGTTAATGGTAGTAATTAATGAAAATAATATTATGTGAATAATGTTTTTATAACATCTTACCTCTGTTCCACATGTACTCCAATGGGGTACTACATTTAAATAATTATATGTAGCTAGTTGAGAAAGTCCAGGCAGAACGTCTTTAGGACTTACTAATTGTCTTTTAGTAAAACAACATGTATGATCAGCTGTGGTTGTTCGTAGGGAAACAAAAGCACGTAGCTGATTACTGCAGTTGTACATATAATCAAATTGAAATGGTAAATGCTTGCTTTCCCTAAATTTGGTATCTATTAAAGCTTTCGGAATTACATTTGCAGAGAATGGATATAATTTATAATTGGCAAAAATAGGATTTTTTTTATCTTTGTCAATACAAACATCCTAAACGCCCAGAAATTCGGTTCGAATGTTGAAGCCAACAGTAAACAATTCTGTATTTTCAGTTGCCAAACCGCAGTCAGGTCCGTTGAGTTTTGCTAATGGTTTATTTTCTTCAAAGCACTTCAAGTCTTTGAAATCAACAATTTTGCTATGTATTTTAAACTTCGAATTTTCTATACATGTTGCTGTAACCTGTTCAGTAAAACTAGATGTTTTATCGGTTACATAGTTTCCTGGACAAAAGAAATGTACACGACGCAATTTCGGTGTTATTATTGAACCCTCGATACTCTGCAATAGATACCACTGCTTTCTATTCGTCAAAATAAATGGTTGTTGTCCATTTAAATCATTTTCAACATTCAAAATACATTCTGAAATCAAACACATAATTTTGTATAAAGAATATAAATACCTACTTAAGTTAACGATAATTGCTGTGGTAACGTGATCGCTTAGGAAACCGACTGAAGTGGGTTCAAATCCGGAGTCCCGCACATCTGATATTTTCATGTGCGAATCATTCCCGACATGATTACCACTTGTCTTACAGTGAAGGAAAACATCGTGAAGGAACATGCATGTCTGAGAGAACCTAGCCAGTCTTCTAAAGATATGTGATGTTCGCTAGCCCGCACTTGGCCAGCGTGGTAGTCTATGGTCTAATCCTCTTCGGCTTGAAGGGAGGCCGTGCCCAGCAGATGGACGGTAAGAAGGGTTAATTTCACAGTGATGGCTGATTCAAAAAAATCGACTATAATTTTTTTTGTAAAGTGGGAAAAGATGGCTGTAAAAATCAGAACTATTACGAATTCCGGTTTTTATAAGCATGTTTTCTCACGTTCCTGAATCTATTTCGGAGGGAATTCGAAAAAAAATAATAGCCGATTTTTTTGAATCAGCCACACATATAACGATTTTGTTATTAATATGAAATAAATCAATATATATATGTATAGTAATACCAACCTTGTGAGATTGGTGGGTTGATATTAAAAGTCCTTGTTATTTCACCAAATGCATTGCTTATTTTACACGTGAAATTTCCAATATCACTGAGATTCATTTTGAAATACCTTTCCATTGAAGTTTCGTCCGTTTCACAGTCGTTGTGATACCATTTTACCTGAATAGTTAAAAATGACATTGGTATAAAATGATAACAGTAATAAGTGTCTGGTGTGTCACTCAAAACTAATGTGGAATAATGCTATTTCTTCTAAATCTAATACTCCGACACGACCGGTGAGACTTGAAAAATCCAGCGCAGGACCGCTGTCTTTACGTGCTCGGGGTAAAACACCGCCACCTTTCCAACTCTGGGCTGTTACTGGGACTTTCTTAATACGAACATACGCATACGCATACGAACATAACATACGCAAACAGACAAAAAATGTAGCTACTATTGCTATGGGGTCTATTTGTAAAATATTTCATGTTTTTTGTTTCATGTTTCTCCTTAATACAGATTATTTTTATAACCTAGCAAGGATTACAGTACTTTACCCAACTGTATGAAATTGATTTGTACAAGCCTTTACTGTAAAAATTACTATGTTCTATGTTCAATTTCCTTATTTATGAATAAAGTTATTATTATTATTATTACATATTATTCTTTATTGTATCATGTATGCATAAATAAGAGAAAAATATATTTAAGAAATTTTTAGTTCCCATGAAATCTTATTTTATATTTATAATAATTATTTATTTAGGAAAACACATAAAATTAAAGTTTTAGTTTAAAGAAAAAGTAAGATATTTTGTTCATATTGTCTAAGTCAGCGGTATGGTGTTGATCTCTTGTCAATCAGTATATTATATATTCTTTCATAATTTTATAAATAAAGTAGCTTTTTATAAAATCACACCAATATGTTATAATTATAATGGCGTAATATTTCGATAATTCCTTTACCTAAACCTGGGCGTAACATTCAAGATATTTCATCAATAAGGCCAATATCATTAATCTCTTGCATTTGTAAAATTTTTCATTCAGTTATAAATAAAAGAATAGAGTGGTTTTTAGAAAAATATAATTGTTTTCCTTCAGATATGGTAGGATTTAGGAAATCTCGTTCCTGCTTAGATAGTTTAAGTATTCTTGTATCTAGAATACAAATGGGATTTTGCAATAATGATGTAACTTTAGGATGCTTTCTTGATCTAGAAAATGCTTACAACAACATTGATACTTTTAATTTATTACAAAGTTTGAATAGATTAGGTGTAGGCCCCCTAATTTGTAGTTATATTTGGAACTTTTTAACAGAAAGATATTTAGAAATTAAAATTAATTATTTGAGTGTTACTCGAAAAACTAGTCAAGGAATTGCCCAAGGAGATCCTTTATCCCCACTTCTTTTTAATATTGCGACAATAGACATCTGTAAACTTTTTCATAATGTCAATGTTTCACAATTCGCTGATGATTTCCTGCTTTATACTACAAATAAAAATATAGAAGATGCCACAAATACAATGCAAATCGCTATCAATGTTTTTGTGAATGAAAAAGCATTAGAAGTTGTGGAACATGTAAAATATTTAGGATTATGGTTAGACAGATCTCTAAGGTGGGGTAAACATGTTAATGAAGTCTATGCAAAAACTTCAAATTTTTTAAATATTTTTAAAGTTTTAGCCGGATCTGGTTGGGGGATTCATCCCAAACACGAATTTATTTATCAATTATCCGCAGTCGCATGGATTACGCTAGTTTCCATTTTCATGATTGCAGTGAAAGCCATTCAAAGAAATTGGATAAAATTCAAAATCAGGCTTTACGAGTAATAGGTGGGTTTATTAGGAGCACACCAACTCATGTAATGGAAGTCGAGTTGAGTATTCAGCCACTTCGTTGCCGTAGATATTACTTGGCTGGTAAATTTTGGCATAAATCATTTTCCATTCAAGATAATATATTAATTAAAATTCTTCAAGAGTGTAGTTCGTCTAATATTTTTGCTTTGTGGAAAAGAAATCGTATTCCATTGTTAACTGTAATTCATGATGCTTTTAAAGACACTATCATGCATCGTAGCAAAGAACTTGAATTATTTTCACTAAACACTTGGGTTAGTAACATAAATTTATCGAATTTAATTAAATTACATATTGGTAATGAATTTAATCCTAAAAGGTTATATAATGTAAATGAAATGAAAAATAAATGTGAAAAATATATTGAAGACCAATTTAACGGTTTTTATAGAATTTTTACAGACGGATCAAAGCAAAAAGACTTAAGGGGTGCAGCATTTTTAGACTTTCAAACTTTAGATTTTATTAAAATTATGATTGATGGACATATCTCAATTATGCATGTTGAACTATTGGCTATTTTGGAAGCATTATGCTACGTTCAGACAATAAATACCGATAAAATTGTAATTTTCTCTGATTCTAGGAGTTCACTTCAACATATAGCTCGATGTACATCTAATATTAGAAGCACACCAGTAGCTTACGAGATTTTGAAATTGATGCATAACTTTAGTAAAGAGGGTAAAAGAATAATTTTACAATGGGTTCCGTCTCATGTTCATATATTGGGAAATGAGATGGTAGATAGATTGGCTAAAGAAGCGACATATGAAGGAAACTTATTGGTAGTTGCGCCGTATTATACAGAATGTCTTTATTTGGTTAAAAAAACGGTTTTTAATACCTGGAAAGAGTTTTTTGATAAAAGGTCAAAAGAAAAAGGCATCTGGTATAGGACTATTCAGGCTGAACCAATAATTCGTCCTTGGATTGACATGACCTGTTTGAGTAGACAAGATACTGTTCTTGCTATGCGCCTCCGCTCTGGACACATTCCATTAAATAAATTTGCATTTTTAATGGGTAAAATTGCTACACCAAATTGCTTGCAATGTGGAATTGTAGAAGATGTTTTCCATATATTAATGGAATGTGTGCGGAATGAGGCGCAACGTCAAAATTATTATACAAATAATCCAATTTTTTTAACGACTGGAGGTATAAATATTGTATTATCAAATCCTTCTTCTAATGTAGCAAGATTAATTTATAAGTTAGCAAAAATTGTAACAAATGCAAATAATACATAATAATTGTACGGGTGTACCTCAATACAATTTTTTGTTAAATATTTATAAAATGTAATTAAGATACCATTGTAAACGTAACAGAGCGTCATAGTCGCATATTAAGCGACAAAGCTCTTTAAATGGAGATTAAAAAAAAAAAAACATATTGCTAGAAGAAGGAACATCTACTAATGTTGAATGTGATTTACCTCATACAAAAAGAGACTTGGTGCGCTGGTATAAGGTATGTTTAAATATTTTTACCTCGTTATTAATTGGAAACGATGAAACATAGCCCATAAGAGTGAGATCAAAAATATATTATCATATACATTTTTTTTAGGACGGGAAAGTTATAGCAACTAATGAACTTCAACTTAAAAATGTAGTAATAAAAGATTCCGGTATTTATACATGTAGAGTCAGCAATTTTATGTACTCTAATTCTTCCCATAAAATGATAACTGTTGGTCTAAAACCGAAATTCTTGAATGAGGAAGAAACAAATATTGTCTTCTCTGAAGGATCAACAGCCATCTTGGGATGTGGCGCTATAAGCATCCCGCCTCCAACTGTAAGTCAATATTTTGTTGTAATATATTATAATTATAACATAATGGTGTAATTTTATAAAAAGCTACTTTATTTATGAAATTATGAAAGAATATATAACATACTGATTGACAAGAGATCAATACCATACCGCTGACTTAGCCAATATAAACAAAACATCTGACTTTTTCTTTTAACTAAAACTTTAATTATATATGTTTTTCTAAATAAATAATTATTATAAATATGAAATAAGATTTCAGAGGAACTAAACATTTCATGTACAAAGAAATATTTTACATATAGACCCCAAAACAGTAGTGCATTTTTGTCTATTTGTGGGTCTGTATGTTCATATTAAGCCAGTCCCAGTAACAGTCCAGAGTTCGAAAGGTGGCGTTGTTTAACCCCGAGCATATAAAGACAGCGGATCTTTCACCGGTCGTGTCGAAGTATTAGATTTAGAAGAAATAGCATTATTCCACATTAGTTTTGAGTGACACACCAGACATTTATTACTGTTATCATTTTAAACCAATGTCATTTTTTATTATTCAGGTAAAATGGTATCACAACGACCGTGAAATAGACGAAACTTCAATGGAAAGGTATTTCAAAATGAATCTCAGTGATATTGGGAATTTCACGTGTAAAATAAGCAATGCATTTGGTGAAATAACAAGGACTTTTAATATCAACCTACCAATCTCACAAGGTTGGTATTACTATACATATATGTATCGATTTATTTTACATATTTTATTTTTACAATACTTAATATCAAAATGGAGGAAGAAAGTGAGAAAATATGCTTATAAAAACCGGTACTCGTAAAAGTTCTGATTTTTACAGCCATCTTTTCTCACTTAAAAAAAATTATAGACGATTTTTTTGTTTGTACAAATTAAAAGTAGTAAGTTCTTCGTTGTATGCGGCATGGAGTTTAGGTCCGCCGATAATAGTAGCAGTAGGTTTTTTATAGACGATGTCCTTTCCTGCAACATAAATATTAACTAACTGTAAAATCAATATAGTTATTATAACATAATTAATGTAAAATTAATTATGATTACTGTTAAATTTATCATCCAGTATAATAATAAAGTTAATATTCAAGAAACAATATAGTACATACATGTTTTCAATTATTTTACCTAATTCAACATCTTGTAGTTCAATTGTTGTCGATCCCAATCTTACAATTTTCTCCCCAGTTTCTGTGTAGCCGATAACCTTTAATAATTTATTAAAATATTAATGTTTCTTTTAAGTCAATGATAAAAAAAAGGAATAGAATACATTAGTACGTCAAATCCTGACTGATTTCTGCCTCGACAGCCGCACTGAAACTAGCCATGTGTTTGGAATTAGTTATAGAACACAAATATGTATGCAGAAACTAGTACACTCTGTATTTCTTTCACTCTTAAATTCTGATGGAACGACATATGGACACCACAGGTGAGAGATCAGGTGTCGAATCGAGCTTTACGTATTCACGTCAACAAAACTCAATAATTATACTTGGCGTGAACTAAGACTCGAATCCAGGACCTCTGAAGCTGCAGTTGTTGCTATCCACTAAGCAGTTATCGAGTCAAACAATAAGATTGGGCCGTAACAATGAAAAAATAGCAAAATGATTTGCTAATTGTATTTGTCACGCTTCGTATTTTTTGACCAAAAATAAATAAATGTATTTTTTAATGATATGAAATGGAATAATTACCATATTTTTATTATCCTTAACATTTTATTTATTTCTTTTCGCAAGTGATGCAACAACCCGAGACTTTGGTGTATAACAAAATATATGTAATGTTTTGTTTGTTGTTTACTAAAAACAATGTTAATAATTATAGAAACAGAAGAATTCACCATACCGCTAGTTTGAAACTCTTGCTGGGTGGTATAAACGCTTCCGTCACATAAAATTGAGTATCTTCGTTGATCAACTTAAGTGGAAATGTATAAATTACGTCATCGTCTTCGTCTCGAACTTCAACAGTTTGTAATTTAACGTCTTTCTTATAAATATCTAAAGATATTGCTAAATACGACTTCTTACCTAAAATATATATTTCAATTTTATTAACTCGTTCATGCGTGTAATTCTTTACACATAACACATAATTATAACAGTGAATTATATTATGTATATGAATTTATCATAAGAACACTGCCTTCTGGTGACAGCGTAATTTTTTAATATTAATATATAATAAATTAATAAATATCGTCTCCTATGATTCGGAGACCTTTGTCATTTACGGATATATTATAAATTATAATCATGCTCATTTTCCTGAAACAAAATGTGCTGAAATGTTGATGTGGGTCTTTAAAGTTAATCTTACAAAACGGCTTTCAAACTCTTCCAGTACTTTCACATGTCGTGCTAATAGACGGACAGACAAACAGGTTGTTTTGTCAATATCTATACTTAATATTGTAAATGTGAAAGTGTGTTTGTTTGTTTGCCCTTATTTCACGTCAAAATAGGGAGACGGATAGGCGTGATTTTTTGTGTGGAGATAATAATAAAGACATTCCCACGTTAAAACACGTTATAATACAACCCAAAAAAAAAATTATGATCAGAATTACTCGAAACTTGGTATTAATGCTCTTCAATACAATTAAATAAATAAATATTTTATTTAGCCTTTTTCGAGGTTCATCCTATGCATTACAGTTTTAATGAATATTTAGTTAAACTTTAAAATACGTAGAAATTATTTTAGCTCCTGCACTATTTGAATATATTTTTTCAAATGAAGCTTTGGTTCTAGATCAATGAAATTTGCAGAGTTTATTCTCCATAAATTGTAGTAAAAAATCACTAGTAGAAAAATAATTTTTAAGGACTGAATGTTAAAAATGAAAATTGAATTAATAAAACTATTCGTGTTGTTTTATAATTAGTACCTGGGCGACCAACCTTCGCTCAGAGTTCTTTTTTGTTATATCGTATTTTTAGATTAAAAAAAAACTAAAATCTTGAATAAATACAAAAATAAAACAAATGTCAGAACTTTGTTTCCGACCGGGATTCGAACACGGTCAACTATTATTGTCAATCTTGCGCCTTGGTCGCTTGACCACGGTGCCTATGCCCGAGAGTGCGAAATTAGCGACCATATACCACCATAAGAAAAGTTTAATAAAGTACTGTAAACCTAACCTAACCGAAACTCGAAAACACGCATTTTCCCAGACATAAGAATTATGTAGATCGATTTTTCGCCCATAAAAACCCCCACATACCAAATTTCAGCGAAATCGTTAGAGCCGTTTCCGAGATCGCCGGTATAAATCAATAAATATACAAGAATTGCTCGTCTAAAGGTATTCAGGTTAAAAGGTATTTAGACTTTTAGAAAATTCTGACATAACTGTTATAACGGCATGAAGCACCCTCTATTGAACTATTTCAACAAAAAATCACTATCGTATAGTTCATACTTCGGTACTTGTGAAGTTAGTCTAAAATCTGGTTTTCACTACTTATTTTTTAAATTCCAAATGAATTTGGAACAACTTAAAATCGCTGAATATACGTATACATACATACATATACCGTACCATACATATACCATATATGTACATTTACATAAACATATAAACATACATACACATATATGTATCTTAACAAAGCAAAGGTGAAACGCTAGTTATTTATAATATTGTGTAAAATGAAATACATACTTGGGACGGGCTTGGTAGCGGTTTCATTCAAAGATTCCGGTTGGATAGTCGAAAATCCATGTTCAAATGTTACAGATGTTGAAGCGGTTACCATCACTGATGTTGCACCCTTAGTATCTAAGAAAATAGTGTGTAGTCCAGGAATTACTTTTAATTTTTCTATCTAAAAAAATATATATAATTTAATTTCAACAACTATATTTTTCAATTCCAGGACACACTCGTAAATTATAACTTACCCTTGTTTTTCTTGTTGTTATACTTTTGTCCGTTTCTGTACCTACTAATGCACCATCGGGCCCAATTACACGAAAATTGGGAGTTGTTGCTGATACAGATACCATAATATCCCATGATTTACTGTCAACATTAAACTAAACCAACAAATATTAACTTAAGTTAATTAAAATATTCATAAATTCAAATAAAATCTATTGCAACTATTGCAATTACTTTGTAACTTAAATATTATATAGAGCTTTTTAATTCTTACTTGCACGGTTTTCCCCGAACCCTCTACGAAGAACTTTTGTGCCAGCGTGGTTTTAACGTCTTTTACAGATTCAATAATGTAGTCTATAATCTAAAAAAATATATCTTGGTGTCTCATTATGAACGAAGAAATGTATATATAGTATGTGCGTGTACCAATTTAAAATGATAAATAGATCTCAAAATGGTAAATTATAGAATAAACGGAAAACAGCTGTTTATGAAATGTTTAGTGACATTGTTAATGATACTGAAATTAGTTTAATTAAATGTAGGATGAATTTTACAATAGTTAACATAATTTAGTTTACACATATATTTTATGATTTAAATTAATTTGAAAGTTTGTGGATCAACGACAAGAGTAGTCCAAAATATAACCCGAATTAGCGTAACTCAAATGTTACGGGAGGAGGCTCTCTGTATCTATAGTACTGTATAGTACGTATTATATCATATATGAGTAATCATATTTTATACTTTATGTATGTATAAGACAATTTCATAGATTTTGAATACTGAAAAAGCCAAATCAATATATTTTCAGTATTTTAATAGTGATTACCTTACTGATGTCATGTTTTTCAATCTGAAAAACTTCTCCTCCCGTTGCTGCTGCAAGTTTGTCGAATACAACAAATCCTGATGGATTAAAATCTGGACACTGGCCCGTTAATAAAAAAGTCACCTGTACGTGAATAAAGACTTATTTATATTAACTAGTATTCGCCCAGACAAAAGGTCAAAGGTCAGGTCGAAATTCGACCACACAAGTGTTATTGAAAATTTGACTAAACATTGTATACAGCCATTTTTAACGTCCCACTGCTGGGCACGGGCCTCCTTTTTAGTACGAGGGGAATCACTAAACATACATATGTCTAATATGAATTTACACATTTCAAAAATATTTGATTCAACTATTTTACATTAGGTCATTGTACAGATATCTGAAATTAAAATTAATCGATGTGGTCGATGGTAATTAAATATATATAAATTGGGGTAATTCCATAGTTACGTAATTTGGAGAAAATATATATTGAATGCTAACCTTAGTTGATTTCTTAAGACTTAAGCTTTTGATTTTATCAAAAAGTGCGTAATCTTTAGCCGCGGCATCTGTAAAAACGTAGAAAAACGAATTCGGTTTGCTTTTTTCCAGTGCCAGTTCTATACCGGTCATTGCATATTCTGGACAGTCGTTCCCACCAACCACATTAATGGCAGCTAAAGCTCGCTTGAACTCACTTCTATCTCTTGTTATTGTTCTTAATTGTGTACCTAAATATTGAGAATTATAATATAAAATTATACTATGCATTATTAAAATTAGCAAGGGAAAATAAAATAAATAAATAAAATATGATCCATAATCTCATAAATAAAATAACTATTAATATTTATACTATGCTGTAAACGTAGTATTTAAAATAAAATTTATTTATTTATTAATAACTGAAAATTAGCATGATTATTAATAACTTAACTTACCTGGATCATTAAAAGTGACTAAAATAAAGTCATCTATTTTAGTAGCATTTGAAGTGAGGACAGCATCAAACAGTTTATTAGTTTTTTCCTTCACTTGCGCAATTTCATCATACATTGACCCTGTATCGTCAATGACGAAAGTAAGGCTTCCCTTCGATGTATCTCCATTCACAGACAGTAAAATTTCGTATAATATATAAAAATAAATGAAATTTTTAGTCACCATTATTGAACAAAGATTACGACCGAAGAAACACACGAGCGCGTCTCGCTTGCCTTATTTGTACTGGACTTATAATAATACCTTATAACATAATATTATATATTCTTTGTAACTTAGGTCAATAGGAGTTTATCAAATATATAAATACCCTGATTGGAATTTTTGGGTATTTCCGTCAGTGTAAACGTTGAAATAATATGACCCTATGTACGAGTTTATATCAAAATTGATAGTAGTAGTATCTAGAAATTTACATAATACTTTCTCAGATTTACGCGAATATTTGACATTTTAAGTATTATGCTGCTGTTATATCCATACTTCTTAATATTATAAGTGTGAAAGTGTGTTTGTTTGTTTGTCTTTCACTTCGAAACGGAATGACGGATTGGCGTGATTTTTGGTGTGGAGATAGTTGGAGAGCTGGAAAGTGCCATAGGCTACTTTTATCGAGAGAAATCATCTCATTCCTACGGAAAAACACGTTATAATGCAATCAAAAAAAATATTTATGATCAGAATTACTTGAAGCTTGGTGTTAATGCTCTTAGATATAATTAAATAAACACGTGTTTAGCACTTTTTAAAATTCATCGCATAAGGGGTAAAATAGGGAATGAAAGTTTGTATGAAACCTACTTTTAAGATAAAACAATACGTTCGGACGGAAGACGGATTGGCGTGATTTTTAACCGACTTCCTCAAAAGGAGGAGGTTCTTAATTCGGCTGTATGTTTTTTTTATATTTGTTACCTCAGAACTCCGTCATTTAATAACCGATTTGGACAATTTTTGTGTTGTTTGAAAGTGTATTCTTCCAGATTGGTTCCATTTAAGTTTCAAAAAAAAAATACCAATCATAAGGGTGGAAAATAGTTAATTATGAATTTAACCTACTTCTAATTTTCATATTGACTTGAAACTTTGCACGTGTGTCCTTTTCGTTGATAGTGCAGTCGTTCGGTATCGTTGACCTGATCTGATGGTAAGGCCAGAAGGTGGATAGGTCAGGTTAGGCTCTTCAACAGCTAATAGTAGATACTTTGAGTTTGGGCTTATTTTGTTTGATTTGACAAGCCTAACACGTTAAAATCGGATTTTAGAGCCGCAATTTTTTGTGTTATTAATGAAAGTAAATTTTAGTTTGTAAGTCTTCGTATAAAAATTGGCATCAAAGTAACTTAAATGGTTTAAACAAATATTTTATTAAAATACTTTCTTCTTACTTTGCTACTACTATGTCTACTTTAAAAAGGGAAAAATAAAAACTTTTTAACAAAAAAAATAAAAACCGACTTCAAACAAAAGCACTAAAAAGTAAAATATAACTAATTGGTAGTTTTCATTTACTATACATACCTAATCAAATATTTTCGGAGTCGGTTAAAAATATATTTAAAAAAATTAAGTTGATATTTACAAAATTTAGTCATAGTTATGTTAAAAAATCATAAAAAATGAAAAAATAAAACATTTTTTAAAGTATGATAGATCCTTTTAAAAAATATGACTTAAATTTTGAAAATAACCCTTTAATCTACTGTGCATCCATTAAATGCTAAGATATTGATGATAAAAAGATAAGGAAGGAGAAGAGAGGATTTTTATTGAAAGTCGAATATCTCAGAAAAAATCGACCTAAAGAGAATAAAAAAACTAAACATCTGCTTACGTTTCGCATAATGGACAATGAGCGATACGCGCGCTCTATAGCATCTCAACTCTAAGGTTTGAGACGTCTATAACCTTAGTCTCTCCCGTGACAATGATTGCTGTAAAGCATTCGAAACGTCGCAAATTCGAAATCCGCGAAATAATCCGAAAAGATAGTTTTATTTAAAATGTCAAATATTCGCGTACATCTAAAAAAGCATTATCGTAATATGTTCTTATAGATAAATTCTCAGGATTATTTATTGAACTTGGCATCCATTTAAATCTCAACTCTTTTGTCCGCGAAGTCGACAACTGTGTAGGTATATTATTAATATTCAACTTGTCTACCATTTTCATATTTACGTTTAGGATGGGATAAACATGGCCAGGATTTTTAAATAATTCTTATCTTTTCTTAATCCCTCCGCGACCGCGGACACGCCGGCGTTACAGTTAACAATAGATTTCTTAGAAATGTCATTAATTCCTTAGAAATTTACCTGGAGGTGTTAATAAAAAAAAATTGCTGTGTAATAATTACAAAAATTTTAGATATAATTTGTTTACTCTTACTTACAATGTTTATATAGAACTATATAATAGCTTATAATATCTTCTTTATAAATAATAAATTATTTTAATGTATTTTTTATTGAAAAATAATACAATATAATATATCCTTTTTTCATTTATATTATTGTACCTATGTATCCCACACGAGATATAACAAAATAATTGTTAATTCTTGAATTTCATGCTTATTTTGTTAGGGAATGTCTTGGAATAACATTTTGTGCCAAAATATGAGATGCACTTATGAATAGTTCTGTATAACCGAAGGCTGTTTGGAAATCTTCTAAGCTGCAGCAAATAATTAACCCTTTGCTCATAATGTACCAATTAGGATTTCTCATCCATTCTGTTTCATGGCATATATCTTTACATGGTATATATTTTACTGCATCAGTTAGCGTCAATCTGGGTATGTTGATTTGAATAATAGCAAGCGCTTCGTCATTTTCAGGATTATGCAGTACCTGGTAAAAAAAATATTATTTAAAAAGTTATCAAATTATCTTAACATGTCTCTTTAATGAACTTAAAAATAGAATTTGTAAGGTGTTTCATTAATTCACCTGTGGAAGAGCGTTATATAGAATTAGAAGATAATATTATATACCTTCCATAAATACGGCGATATCGGTTGTTCATTATATTCATCCGATAAGTATGTCGTTGTAATGTCTGTCGCCTTTATTGTTTGAGATGATCCTGTCCAAACCTCTAAATTCATATTGAGACTTTTCACGAGTTGTCTAACTCGGAGTTCTACTTCATCCCAGTTCTGAAATTAATTTGTTTGAGTTAAAAATACTTACTAAATTATAGGTGCATGATAATACTAGAGTCGTCAAAAATCACCATTTTGAAATTTGGTTATTTACGTACTCTTGTAAAAAAAAATTAATGTTCATGACCGCTTAGAAACGGAATATTATTAAAAGCTGCATACAGAGCATCATCTAATAATTACTTTTTCAATCACAGCTAAATTAAAAAAAATGATTTGCTCACTAGTGAATCTCTTTCATTTGAGATGGATTGGATGATGATGACATTTACCAATATACCGTTAGTTGCCGAAGATATAGCACGTAAAGTTATGATACTCGATATTGACCTTAATATTTTACATAAAATTAATTAACTTTTTAAGAGAATAAATGAGGTGTAAGATAAGAAGAGAATAATTAATAAAAACAATATATGAAAAATATTTTTATAACATCTTACCTCTGTTCCACATGTACTCCAATGGGGTACTACATTTAAATAATTATATGTAGCTAGTTGAGGAAGACCAGGCAGAACGTCTTTAGGACTTACTAATTGTCTTTTAGTAAAACAACATATATTATCATCAGCTGGGGTTGTTCGTAGAGTAATAAAAGCACGCAGCTGATTACTGCAGTTGTACATATAATCAAATTGAAATGGTAAATGCTTACTTTCCGTAAATTTGGTATCCAGTAAATCCTTCGGAATTACATTTGCAGAGGATGGATATAATTTATAATTTGCAAAAATAGGTACTTTTTTATCTTGGTCAATACAAACGTCATAGACGCCCAGAAATTCGGTTCGAATATTGAAGCCAACAGTAACCAACTGTGTATTTTCAGTTTCTAAACCGCAATTAGGTCCGATGAGTTTTGCTAATGGTTTATTTTCTTTAAAGCATTTCAAGTCTTTGAAGTCAACAATTTTACTATTTATTTTAAACTTTGAATTTTCTATGCATGTTGCTGTAACCTGTTCAGTAAAACTAGACGTTTTATCGGTTACATAGCTTCCTGGACAGAATAAGTGTATACGACGCAGTTTTGGTATTATTATAAAGCCCTCGATATTCTTAAATGGATACCACTGCTTTCTATTCGTCAAAATAAACGGTTGTTGTCCATTAAAATCATTTTCAACATTCAAAACACATTCTGAAATTAAACATATTAAGTTTATAGGAGTATATTTTTTATAAATTGAACTAGTTTGACTTAACATAATTTGTTATTATTTTACAAATAAAATACTGTGAATTAAATCGATTTTATCAAATCAAATTCAAATGAAAACATACATACTTTATTCAATTAGATTTTTAACTCGTCAACTATATATTTTTAAATTTAATTTTAATTTACAATATACATATTATGTACAGTTATACCTTCCGGGAGTTGTAGGTTGATATTAAAAGTCCTTGTTATTTCACCAAATGCATTGCTTATTTTACACGTATAATTTCCAATATCACTGAGAGTCATTTCGAGATACCTTTTCATTGAAATTTCATCAATTTCACGGCCGTTGTGATACCATTTTACCTGAATAATTAAACACAAAATAGGTATAATATGATAATAATAAAAACTATCTGATGTATTACTCAGAACTAATGTGGAGCAATGCTATTAATTAATCTAAATCAAAAATATGAAAATCGAATTGATCGAATGATTAAACAAAATAATTTTGTATTTTCGAATCTAAATTTGAATTTTATCTATTTTATTCCGACGGCGAAATAAGTATAACATTTGTTTCTTTTATTGTTAATTAAACTATTGCATCTAAGAACAAAATTTTTAACCCAATAGATCTAAAGAATTTTAAGTTTAGATACGTACATTATTTTCGTTCTTTACACTTATAAGAATGTACCTATTAAAAAAATAATTCGTTAGGATTCGAAGTAAAAAAATCTTGCACCATACAAAATCACATTTCGTTCCAAAAAAACGTAGTTTTGTTTTTAGTAGGTACATCAAAAAGACGCAGTTATTATTTTTAAGCTGAAAAAAGTATTTTTTTATATCCAATTATAGCACTAATAGCAACAGCCATAATTTAAATTAATTTATTAATTTATTTATTCTAAAATCTCATCAATTTTGTCCATATTAAGGTAAGTCAAATATTAATTCTTTATTATATCTATAAAAATAACCAGTTCGTTATATTCCCACATTAGGCAAATTAGACAAGTAGTGACCGAGGCTTTGCTCGCATTAGACTACCAAGAAATCAAATAAAGACTTGAAAGATAAGTGCTTGTTATTATTTCTTAAAGATTTATAGAAAACAAAGTTAGTTCTATATCTCGCAAACTACTCAAAGTACATTCTGCAAATCTCTATATAGAAGAGGAGGGTGACCGGTTACTATGTTTACAATTTTAAATCATATAACTATACTAATATTATTAAATAAAACTATCTTTTCGGATTATTTCGCGGATTTATTTTGATTTTTGGTTCCCGACGTTTCGAATGCTTTACAGCATCCATGGTCACGGGAGAGACTGAGGTGTTACATGTCTTGAATGTATAGTTGTTACAGACAGCCTACCCACAATTAACAAAATAGGTAGGCTGTCTGTAACAACTATACATTCAAGACATGTAACACCTCAGTCTCTCCCGTGACCATGGATGCTGTAAAGCATTCGAAACGTCGGGAACCAAAAATCAAAATAAATCCGCGAAATAATCCGAAAAGATAGTTTTATTTAATAATGTCAAACATTCGCGTAAATCTAAGAAAGTATTACTGTACTAATAGTTTGAAATACGCGTGATAATAAATGACATTTATCATGCTTCCTTTCTCTCAATAAATTAGTTATTAAACGTTGTTTGTTTTATTTTTGCAGCATAGTAGGAGATTTTCCTTTAATAAATAGCCTATATGTTTGACTAGGATAATACGTTGTTGCCATACTAAACTTAGATGACATACATTCAGTATGTTATACCAAATGAGCGCACGATCAACTTTTTTGATTTTTCTATGAAAATGAGAGATTTAACCGCAATATATTGTTAAATATGTTAATTATAAGCATGCTTCTAATAGCTTAGTGTGATAAATAATAGATTTTTTTGTATGAAGGTTAACTCGGTCGAGTACAGTACTACACCTGGTGTAGTGTTTTCCCGCGGGAATGAAAAATGTTAAAGTATTCTAAAAGTTGACCTGAGTAATAAGTAATCTCTAAACAAAATTTAGTTAAAACCCATTAAGTACATTTTGTGTGAATCAGATAAAGAGACAAATAGATACGATGTCTCTCTGGTCAATTCGGCCACGGCGGCGGCCAATCTCACTCAGACTAGCCAACTGCGCAAGAGTTATTATAGTGCACAAATGTACGTGCAGACACCAGTGCACTCTTTATTCCTGTCACTGTCAAATTCAGATGGGATGATACTTCGACACGACGTGTAAATCTGATCTAGCGTGGGATCGACGGATTTACGAGGCAAGCGGGTAAACAACACCACCTTTTCCAACTCTGTTATTACTGGGACCTTCTTAACAGAGAGACTCAAACACTAAATTTGGGTCAAACCGGGACTCAAACCCACGACGTGCAACCGTACACGTTAGCCACTATACCATCGAGGCAGTACAAACAGACAAATAGATAAAAAAATAAATTATGAAAAATTATGGAACTATTGTTTTGGGGTCTATATTCTGTACACAATTCGTAACAGTCATTGCTTTTAATGTAATATATACTACAGTAAAAATAGAATTTAACTTTGCACTAAATTTCCGATCCAATTTTATTATTTTATAAGGTTAAGGATCACTTACTGAGTATAAAATAACAAAATGCTTTTTTGGCCGATATCTCGGAAACTGTGCACTTTATGTCAAAAATTATCGAAACTACTTTTGTACAGAATGAAATTTCGTGTCTCTTGTTTCCTGATTTTTTTTTTGTAAAACTTAACGTTTATGATTTATGGCCCATTTAATAAACCGGTTCTTCTATCTCGACCGAATTTTAAAATATTAGATTAATCAATAAAATGCATCTATCCATTTTTAAAGGTCCATTTATTCTCTACAACTTTTGTTTAAAACTTTTTTTTAATGTCCATAGTTTTTGAGCTATAGGACGTTTAATGTTGGACCATCGGGCGTAAGGTCAAAAATTTCAAGGTATGCATAGGCTAATTGTAAAAATTTAACAAGTAAATTGAAAAAAATATCCTGATTGTTTATGTACTTAACAAATAATAGTTCATTTCCTTACCTGCAATAGTAACGAACTTTATTATTTTATTATATTTCGTATATAACTAAAAAATATTTAGCGCTTTGGTTTGCTCCTATTAAGTAATTAATTTAAGCCTTATAAAAAAAATATGATCGGAAATTTAGTGCAAACTTGACCAAAAAACGTCTATTTTTACTGTAGTAATAGCATAGTTACTATTTTATATTACACATACTCGTAAATAATTGAAAAATAGACATACCCATTTAAGAAATGTTAATTTCCTATAAAATCTCATTTCAAATTTATAATAATTTATTTAGGAAAACATATTTAATTAAAGCTTTGGCTTAAAGGACAAATCATTGGTTTTGTTTTTGTTGATATCTTGTCAATCAGTATATATTATTTCATAAATAAAAAAAGTAAAGTTTTATAAAATTACACCATTATATTATACACCATTACATTATATATTACGACAAACTGTTGACTTACAGATGGTGGCGGGTAGCTAATAGCGCCACATCCCAAGATGGTTGTTGATCCTTCTGAGAACTCAACATTTGTTTCTTCCTCATTCAAGAATTTGGGTTTCTGGCCAACAGTTATCATTTTATGGGAAGAATAAGAGTTCATAAAGTTGCTGACTCTACATGTATAAATACCGGAATCTTTTATTAATACATTTTTAAGTTGAAGGTCATTAGTAGCTATAACTTTCCCATCCTGAAAAAAAAATATTTTTAACTCTCTCTCTCTCTCATTGGTTATATGTATCTTTCATCACTTTCAATTGATTTGAAGCAACAATATTATGGGTTCATACCTTATACCAGTGCACCAGGTCTCTTTCTTTATGAGGTAGATCACATTTAATATTAGTAGAAGTTCCTTCTTCTAGCAGTATGTTCTCAGTCGGTTGGTCAGGATATGGATATTCTACAAATAAGATACATATTATAATTAAAAAATAATTGAGAAATATTGAAAATTAATAACCAGTAATTTAAAATTTTGTGTATTAGTAAAATATTTCTTAAAAATTAACCGCAAAAACAATAAACACTGTCTTAATAATCAATCAATATCATTCTATACACTAGTGATGTAACAATATTTGCACTCGCATTTGCGAATATTCGCATTCGTATTCGCAAGAAACGATGCGAATGTTTTTGACAAACAAATAGGAAATTATATAGGGAATGGGTGGATATATAATCAGCCCTTTTTAACGTCCCACTACTGGGCACGGGCTTCCCTTCAGTACAAGGAGGATCAGGCCATAGGGTGGTATGATAATACAACTGTGCTTTTCTCATGTTTCTTTACTACTTCGTCACTTTTGAATAGATATCAGTTAAATTTGACATAATATGCTATAATAAATATCAAATCACAAGTGGTGGAGCAAGTGGACTGTAATTTTGGGGGATGCGGGAAGGCGTATTACCTCCCGAGAAGGGAACCCCTGCCGGTGATGGACACACCACGTGCAAAAAAACAAAAGTTCAGGGACTCACCTTCTGCTGCAACTCCTATCTCCGCTTCCATGAAAATTAGCACAGGGCACTTAAAGTTCGTATAGTACACAGTAAAAAGTTCATAAAGCATATAGGGCGCGGTCAACCTGCGCGCGCGCGGTGCGGGATGATAGTTAATTACGCGGAAGCCGTGTTAATTGTTACACGGTGTAACGACGACTGGGGTGAGTGCATCAGCGCACTCACGCGGCTTATCCCATCACAATTGCCTATTTGCAAAATAGCACAACCATCCCCCCGGCCTTTAGGGTTTCCCTAAACAAGAAAAGGGACGGGAAAGGAATATAATGAGAATTAAGGATGGGATAAAAATTTATAAATGCGGAACGAAATGAAGCGGATGAGATGCGTCGCGGATGCTAGCGGAATATAAATTAAATCGCGGAAATAAGCTATAATGTAACTTAGTAACTATGAAGTAAGTTAAACTAAAGATTTAACGTAAACTAAATGCGACTAAAACTAAATGAAAATGTATATGAACTTTACTGATTGGGCAAAGGACAAAGTTTTGCCACTGGGCGCACGTAAGTACCGGTTTGCGTGCGCACACGCGCTACCCTGATAACACCATCGGAGCCAGGGTGGACCTCGTCTATGACAGCAAGAGGCCAATTAAGCGGTGAACAATTATCTGATTTTATAATAACAATCAAGCCTTTCCTAACTGGATTGGATGGCGTGTTCCATTTTAAACGCGTTTGCAACTCTGAAAGATACTCCTTTCGCCACCGATTCCAGTAACTTTGAACAAGCTTGTCGAGTAATTGTTTGCGATGTAATAAATTAAGATTTGCATTTTCGCATGGAATGGAATGAAACGAAGTCAATGGACCTAACGTTAAAAAATGAGACGGGGTTAACGCGGTTGGTTCGGAAGGATCCGAACTCATGACAGTAAGTGGACGCGAATTGAGCACGCACTCAATTTGTGTAAGCAATGTATACATTTCTTCGTAGGTAAGCAACGTCTCGCCTACGACGCGTTTGAGATGAAGTTTGACACTACGTATGTTAGTCTCCCATACACCACCAAAATGAGGCGAATTAGGAGGGTTCATACTCCAATTGATGCCGTGAGATACAGCCTCTGCATTAAAAGATTCGCGAAACGATTTAGATTTAAGAAATTTATGTAATTCATCGAAATGCGTCTTGGCGCCAACAAAGTTGGTACCATTGTCAGAAAACAAATTTAAACATTCACCGCGGCGCGAAATGAAACGCTTAAAAGCCCGTAGAAATGACTCAGTGCTAAGATCGACAGCAAGCTCTAAATGCACTGCTCTCGTAACAAAACAAGTAAAGAGACAAATATATGCCTTTTCTTTACGTGCGCCTCTGTACCTACTTATAAGAATGTTATAAGGTCCGCCATAGTCAACGCCCGTATTCATGAAGGGCTTGGCTTCGTTTACTCGAGGAGCGGGTAGAGACGCCATGAATGGGTTTAACGAACGCGGGTTTGATTTAAAACATTTATTACAATTCCTAAATCGTTTTCGTACTATATTACGACCAGACATTATCCAAAATCTCTGTCGCAACAATGATAAAAGAAGATGCGGTCCAGGATGTAAAAACCTGTGATGATAACTATCTATAATCATTTCCGTAATGCGATGATTTTTAGGCAACAATATAGGATGTTTGGCGTTAAATGACAGTGAGGATTTATTTAAACGTCCTCCTACGCGGAGTAAACCATCTTTATGAACGAACGGCGCATATGGTAACAAAGATTTCGAGACTTTGCGGTGTGAATTGATTGCCGAAATGTCGTTCTTAAAGACATGCGATTGTAAACAACGAAGAATAGTTACTTCAGCAACCTTAAGGTGTTCAAACTGTAAAAAGTCAGAGCGCGGAAGTTTACGAGTGAATCTTAAAATATAAACAATGATACGAAGTAGTTTGTCCCACGAGGACACGCGTGACGCGAGTTGAAGAAGAAAATTTTCTTCAGCGACTACGGTTGCGGTGCAGACAATAAGAGATGGATTAATATTCTTATATTCATAAACTTTATCATTCGCGGTGTCATCAAATGTGAACCTATTGAGAGGCCACGACGCGGGGTTGTCACGAGCCCATTGCGGGCCGTGCATCCATAGCGGATGAACTAATAGTTGCGCGGGAGATAAACCTCTAGAGATGCAGTCACTAGGGTTTTGTTTTCCATCAACATGGAAATAATGACGCGGCGCGAGATACTCTTGTATCTTAGAAATACGATTGGCCACAAAGGTGTCAAATCGGTGCGGAGACGAATGTGTCCAGTGTAAAGCCACGGACGAATCAGTAAAAGCAAACACGTCATCAACTGTACAACGTGCCGCTATTGAGTCGCGGATAAAATTAAGCAGCTGTGCCATGATCAACACAGCACAGAGTTCTAGCCTGGCCAGCGAGACGGTACGTGTCGGAGCGACGCGACTCTTGGCCATGGCCAGCGTGACGCGGTTTGGTTCTCCTGGAACCACAACACAAATATAAACAACGGCTCCATAGGCTCTCTCACTTGCGTCAGAAAAACCAAGAAGAAAAACGCGGTGTGTATCAGATGTGATACCAAAAAATCGCGGTATTTGAAAATTATGTAAAAGTGGTAACTCATTTATAAAAGTTTTCCACGCGGTGCAAATATGTTCAGACGGCGAGTCGTCCCAACCGATATGGGCGAGCCATAAAGCTTGAATTAATAATTTCGCATATAAAACTACTGGAGCACAAAAACCGTTGAGATCCCATAGTTTAGCTACGGTAGACAACATGAGACGCTTTGTACACTCAGCCCGCGGGGTAAAATTAATAGCAATACGAAAAATATCTTCGCGGGGACACCAACTTAAGCCTAAGATTTTAAGTGAATCATCATTGTCAAACTGAACCTGGCTTGACAAGCGATTTTCAACCGGGATCGCGTTCAGGACCTCTGTCGAATTACTAACAAATTTAACTAAGTTAAATCCGCCGCATCTAAACAGTTCAATTAAATCCTGTGCCAGGCTAGCGCCATCTGCAGACGAATGAGTCGAAATACACAAATCGTCCATATATATGTAGTTTGATGCTATATCAGCAGCAAGCGGAAAATTCTGCTGCTGCTCAGAAGCGAGCTGTCGTACAGCGCGCATTGCGAGATAAGGACTGCAGCGCAGGCCGAAGCAAACGCGGTTAAAATTATATAATTTTACGTCGCTTTCATTCGCAAACCTATAAAGAATATTTAAGAAACGACGATCCGATTTGCGAACTATTAAATTTAAAAACATTTGTTTAATATCAGCGGTAAATGCAATTTTAAAAAGTCGAAAATTTAAAATAATAGCGGTGAGGTCTGTTTGTAAGTTAGGGCCTGAGTGTAAGCAATCGTTTAAAGACATTCCTGACGTTGTCTTGTGACTAGCGTCTAATACGACACGAAGTTTAGTAGTAAGTTTATCTGAGCGACAAACACCATGATGCGGTATAACGTAGTATGGATCCTCCACGTTCAATGGAGGCGCGGGTTCGATAATTCCATTTTTTAAATATTCGCGGAATATCGCGTCGTATTCCTCACGAAGAAGAGGGTTTAAATTAAATTTTCGCTCCAAAATGTTATAGCGACGACGCGCAGAAACTAGAGAATCCCCTAAGCAAGAAGGACCGCGGTTAAACGGTAACGCGGTAACGAAGCGACCAGTGCTATCGCGGGACGTAGTAGAAACAAAGAACTGTTCGCACTGGTGCTCAGCGGGAGATAAATGTTTTTTAGACGGTACCTCCTGTAAAGACCAAAACCTCGTAACTAAATTTTCAATTGAGTCTTCGGTCGAAGTGAAAAACGTATGCGTGGATGTAGAAGTCATAGGAAAATCAACTAAGTTTTCAAGCGAACCTAAAATAATGTATCCAAATGCGGTTTCAAATGCGTCCGGTTTCCCCGGGGGTCCGACCACCTTACCAGGGCGAAGGATCTCGGTAAAAACTTCAGAACCGAGAATCAAGTCTACTTGACCAGGTACGTAAAAGTCCGGGTCAGCGAGCGCAATATTATTTAAATAATCTATTTGTTTCGCGTCTATGTTTGTCGAAGGTAATTTATCTGAGATTTTATTTAAGACGAGCGGGTTAATACGAAGCGTGTAACGCGGATCGTAGTGAGAAGCTAAAGTCAGCTCTGTAAAAGTACCTATAGACTGCGTCTCATAATCGCCAATGCCTTTTATTGAGAGAGGATTATTAATAATCTTTGTTTTAATTCCTAAAAATTTACAACATTTTTTCGTTATAAAATGATTTTGAGAACCCGTATCTATTAAAATTCTAATTTGTTTGAATGAGCCATCGCTACAAACAACGTAAGCGCGAGCGGTACCTAACAAAACGTGACTACTATGCGCGGAGGCACGCACAGTGTTCGCCATAGCGCATATTACGTCATTAGCCGTATCGGAATTGCTATGCGACGCTGAGAGAACTTGCGCTGTCGAGTGTACGGGTGATGATAACGCGCCACTGCCGTGCGAGCGAGAGGCTGCGCGCGCAGCGTCGCGTGCGGGTGAGAGCGGGATAGCATTACCACGAGGCGACCGCGACCGCCGCGGCGGCGAGACGTACGCGGCTCGCGCAGGGACGTTTTCCCTTTCAGATTGCGAGCGGCTACTTTTATTTTTGAAATGCGTGTTATCATTAAAATGAAGCATAGTGTGATGCGAATGTGAATTGCAATGTTTACAGGCATTAGACGATTTACAAGTTGATGCGGTATGTCGTAAACTAAGACAGTTTACACATGAATGGTTGCGCTTGACAACCTGATATCGTTCACGCGGATTCATGTCGTTAAACTTAGAACAGTTGTAATAATGAGTATGAGTTTTTAAAGAACAAACGGGACATGCGGAATTACTATTTACTAAAAATGACTTTACAACGTTTTTAGAAACAAGCGGTAAATTTGAATGAGGTTTAGACTTAGAATTTAATGAACCATGACGTTGTATGATTTTAATTTGATCGCGGACAAAAGAAAGTAAATCGTCAAGTTTTGGAATTCCACAATTTCGGTTTTCCATTTCAAAAGCGCGAGTGGTCTCACAATCTAGTTTTTTGAGAGCTATATATAACAAAATGAAATCGCTTAGATTATCTAATTTTAAATTATTTAATGCGGATACAGAAGATGAAAATCTATCTATAAAATGTTCTAATTGTGACGCGGAAGAAAGTGGTTTGTATTCAAATATAGTATTTAAATAAGTGGTCGCGAGAAGCCGCTTGTCTTCGTATTTAGAGACGAGGGCGTTAAATATTATTTCGTAGTTGTCAGGTGACGGCGTAATGTCTGCATACACCGACAATGCCTTGCCAGTAAGCTTGCCTATTAAATAATATAACTTATCAGATGACGTCAAAGTAGGGTTGTTATGTATTGTGTCGACAAAACTAGAATAAAATAGCGGCCAGTTGCGCGGGTCACCGTCGAACCCTTTCAGTTCTATTGGTGGAAGTCTAGGCTTCGAATATGAGCTTTGACTAGCGGGTTTGTTAGTGAGACATTTAAGTGAAACTTGTCGCTTAATATGACAATACAAGTCTTCAAAAGCGTTGAGTTTTTTGAAATCTGGCTTATATTTAGGATTTATCTCCATGTTAAAACGATTTAAATCATATAAGACCTTTTCGAAGCTACTACGAACCGATTCTAAACCCTCAGCACGAGTAACCAATGTCTCGATATCTGCGTCACTATTAAGCCTACATGACAAATCGTAGATACTTTGAATACGTTCAAAGTACGCGGAAAGTTTAGCCTCAAGCATAATAATATTCATTTCTTGCGGAGACGTCATGTTTAACAAACTATATAACTGTTTTATATATTATAAATTAGGCGAATGAACGAAATAACTAAATAAAATGAGTAGGTATGACGGTAGTTGAAATCGTATGAATATAACGAACAAAAGAATGCGGTGTGCTACGTTAGCACAAAATATGTTACGTACGTAGATTTAAATATTTACGTATTACAAAACCTATCTATTTTACAGATAGAAATGGATGCGGGACGAAATATAAATAAATGATATAAAATGTATTCACTTATTTTATAATGCGATGCGATGCGAAATACATATCTTAACTTAGTACATTAAAATATGTTTTTTAAATATATAAACGGGATGAAAACAGTTACGAAATGAGTACGTGGATACAAATAAATATTAACTATTAAGTTATGCGATGTTAAGAAAGGCAAGAAAATTACTTTCGCGATGTGTACGCGCAGGTCTATATTAAAACAAATTAAATAAATGATATTATGTAACAATAAAATATGATGATGAGAGTAAAATATAACTTATTGCGGTAGGTACTTGTACTATACACGTTCTAGAACAAAAAATGGCGTAGCGCGAGCGATGCGATCGTTTCGAAAGGGAAGCGGGTAGGTAATTGTGGAAATAATTTCAAGGAATTGGAATTAATCCGACGCGAAGTGACCAAAACTTTATGGTGGAGCAAGTGGACTGTAATTTTGGGGGATGCGGGAAGGCGTATTACCTCCCGAGAAGGGAACCCCTGCCGGTGATGGACACACCACGTGCAAAAAAACAAAAGTTCAGGGACTCACCTTCTGCTGCAACTCCTATCTCCGCTTCCATGAAAATTAGCACAGGGCACTTAAAGTTCGTATAGTACACAGTAAAAAGTTCATAAAGCATATAGGGCGCGGTCAACCTGCGCGCGCGCGGTGCGGGATGATAGTTAATTACGCGGAAGCCGTGTTAATTGTTACACGGTGTAACGACGACTGGGGTGAGTGCATCAGCGCACTCACGCGGCTTATCCCATCACAATTGCCTATTTGCAAAATAGCGCAACCAACAAGAAATCTTTTCGAATGAACTTTATGTGACTAAATTCATTCATTCGACATAAATATTGACTCGGTTATGTTTGGTTTATGGAAATATACGAAACGTCAAACTTGTCTGCTTAAAATTTTGCTCTCACTTTATTTGAAAGTCAGTCAGTCAACATCCGCATTCGTATTCGCGAATGTGAAAAATCGAACATTCATTACTATGCACATAGCAATGTAGTTAATTCATAGGTTAATTTATAGGCTAATAAAACTTAGAGCGATATAAGTCAAACACGTACGTTGAATTTCCACATTGAATTGTTCAATATCGGAGCCAGCACTATTTTCAGCTTTACACTTATAAGTTCCTGCTGATTTTTTTGTTAAATTTTTTATCAATAATGTTCCATCCTCATCAATGTCGTAAAAATCTGTACCTGGAATAACGTAATTATTTAGTTTGTAAAAAGTCGTGTTCTGACATTTTTATTTTAGTTGAGTAGCAATTAATACGAAGAAAAAAAAATTGAAAAGAAATTATATAGCCTATATATAGAGTAGAATACTAAAGACAGATCTTACCAACAGCTAGATAGTCGTCATCAACCTTCCATGTAATAGTAGGTTTGGGGCTGCCCACAGCCTTGCATGGAATTCTTAGTACTAAATCCCCAACAACGCCTATCAAAGTTTTATCTTTCAGAGTGTTAACTATCGATGGTGGTGCTAAAACATAGTAGATTAAATGATTCCTTTCAAAAAGATTTTTATTGATATCCTTTATGATAAAAATGAAATAGAAGAAAATATAATTGCTATAAGAAATTTTGTCCGTATGTCTGCACACATTACTGGCTTAATAAAATAAAGTTTAGTAACTGTGTATAAATAGACATAACAAAAATGTTCTCTGTATACATTACGGGATGACTACAAATAAAATAAGCAAGCTATCTGAACGATATTAGACAGACATAACTGCAGGTAAGCGATGATATTACTATTTAAATTTTTACCTGTAACATGAACTTCATATGAAAGATATGCTGATCCTCCTTTATTATTTGCCATGCATACATACAACCCTTCATCTTCTATTTGAATTCGTGGTATTATTATAGAATTCTTTTCGTCACCTCTGAAAGTTTACGGTGAATAATTTTTAATCGTTTTTTTTAAATAAGACTTTAAAATATTTTATTGTAATAACTCACCGTAAAGGATTCGATGTAACTTTTGAAATGGAATCGTAAAAAGTCCAATGTACTTCCGGCTCCGGATATCCGTAAGCTTCGCAAGATAATGACAGCGGACTTCCAACATTAAGAGTTATAACTGTTTCTTTAGGAGGTATTATGTATGCTGCCGCTGAAATATATTTTTTATAGAAAAAATAAATCCAAGCTATTGCACTTCTCGTTATAATAAAGTGGATTCATAAGGTGAGGAGAGCGTGAAGGAAAGTTGAATAAAAAAACATTATTAAGAATATTTTTTTTTATTTAAAACCTAATTTATATAGGATAAAAATAAATAAATCATGGTTTATACATGTATCTCTCTAGTTGTTATGATTTTGAACGATATTAAATTTATTTCACGAATAAAATTATTATAATAAGACCTGTAAAACCGTATCTTGGTCTGCGATCCATTCAGAAAAAAAAGTGACAGGATCAGATATATTAAGATATCAAAATAAGTTTTTCTGAAATGGACATTGTGTATTAAGTTGTTCAAATGCTATACCATGGGATTCACTGCCATTTTTTTATAATCAAAAAAATATATTATAAGCTATACGTAAAACATACCGGCGCAATTTTAAATTTATTTATCATTATTAGTACTCTATACCCACTTTTCTTGGACATCAAAGGTCAATTAGTATTTCAGTATATATTTAAAATAACACTTTATGTAAAAACAAAATTAATTTTAACTTATGGAGCAAAGAAAGTTATACATAGACTCAGTTAATGTATGCAAGTGGTATAGATTTTTTTTGTAGAATGTTGTTGTTAGAATGCTTAAGGAAGGAAGGATAAAAGGAAGGAATAAGAGTACATAAATTTTATGTTGCTGACTTTGCATAACACAATCTTTCACTAATACACTTTTAAGTGCCTGTGACTTTCCCGTCCTAAAATTTATAACATATTTTGGATTTCACTCTCTTTTTTATTTAAATACTAGCAGCTCCCCCTTACTTCACTTTGGTTCGCCTCTAGACAAACAAAAACAGATCTATCCCACGGGAACTACGAGTATATTAGCAGGTAGGTAGCCTATTTGTTATACTGATGTATGAACTATATTATTGTAAAGTTTCATTAAAATCCAATGAGTAGTTTTTAACTCTTTAATTTTCCGGGATGAAAAGTATCTCAAATGTTCATCGGGGATATAAGGTATCACCATGCAAAATTTTATTTAAATCGGTCCAACAGTTTCGGAGATTAGCCCGTACAAATAGGCAAATAGACAGAGAAACAAAAAAAAAATGAAAAAAATATGGATTTGTTCTATTTCTCTTCTTACACCCCCCATGACTCGGTTTTAGCATATTTTTCTATGTACAGGCATTTGACCTCTATAGTTTTATTATGTGTATAGATAATAAAACTATAGAGGTATATAAAATAGATATCTAATGTAATCAATGAATAAAATCGTTTTATCTTACCGTATACATTTACATGAAAGTCTTTTTTTGCTTTTCCGAGAGGATTGGTAGCTTCACAAGTATAAATGCCATTGTCGCTAAATGATGCTTTAAAACTAAAAATATAAATAATAAAGTACAATTTAAAAACCAAATCAAATAAAATTCAGCATTAATTTTGTGACAGAATAATGCTAATTTTTAAACTAAAATTCTGGTTTCGCCTTATCTCGATGGGACATAATGTGATACATATGCCTAAATACATGCAAACATAAATACTTTATTACGTTATATTCAGCGTAACACTGAAATTGTCCGGTTCTAGTTTAATATTACACCTCGATACTATTCTTTTGTAAATTAGCTTACATAATAGCTAAATAATTTCACAGCTGTTAATTTTTTTTAAATATGAAAAATAGATTTGTTTTCGTTGCGTGGTCACCCTACTTTCTTTTATTTGTATAATCTAAAAATAAAAATATGTTTATAAGTTACTGGCATTAGTTTAATATATGAGTAATGTTGGTCAGTATATAACATACATACAAACAAACATATATATACACAAATTTGCTGCACCGTAGATTTATATTGGTTCTCGTATATTTTATAGTCATATATGATAAAATACATACAATTGTTGGGAAGGCATGATGGCCAATTTACAGGATAATACTTAATTATAATAATTAATAATGTATACTAACCGCAAGCGTTCATTATAAATGCGATGTGTTGCCGAGTTGCTGATCTCAACGTTATTTTTAAACCATTTGATACTGGGAGAAGGTTCGCCTTCAGAAGGACAATTCGAGGACACCTTGTTTCCTTTTAATGCTTTGATATTTTCATCTTTACCATCAATTGATGGTGGATCTACGAAAAAAAATTCATGGTTAAAACTTACATGTTCTAATTTATGTTATACTTGCAGACGCTGTCCCTATTTAAACATTATTAATCCGAGAATACTATAATATCTGGTGTAGTATGTCTGTGTTCCTACAGAAAATGCTGGGGTACCCCATTGTTTAATAGAAATTTCTTTGATAGAGACCATAGGGAAGGTTGATGGACAGGGATAGAGTTATCCACTTACAGCACTTTTTCAAGATAGCTGCTATAGTTTCTTTTATATCCTTTCTTAAACTTGACTTATGAATACGTTCCTCCAAATATATTATTATGAGATTTAATTCCGGTTCTTTCAGAATGTGCGTCGAAACTTCATGTTTCGTTTATTATTAGTGATAGAATATTTATATAAAACCCAGAAGTATCACATTCAATAATCCATAAAATAGGCACATTGGCTGTCGTTCGGACTTTTTTTGCATAGAGTATTTTTTGCCCTAGCATCAAAAACGTCACCCTTTGATTATAGAAATGTATAATTTCCTGGAGCTCGACTTCATTGTTTTATATGGAGAGTCATAAATAGTTAACAGCATCATGACGACTTTCTTTTTTGTAGATTTAGGAGGGCACTAAGACAAGAAACACTGACTTCTGCTAATTAATGACAGGATCCCTGGGGTCCTGCTTATTAAATTTGTTTTTTTAAATATTAACAAACTAAATAAACATTATTATTCTTATTCTATTTTAACTTTTTAAATTACACATAGAACAATAATGGGGCTTGAATAATTAATTTTTTTTTTTATGGTTATAAATATAATAAATGCTACACTAAATGTAGATTACTAATTAATAAAGGTTTTTTCAAAAAAAATTGTAATAATTATAATGATAACAGCTAAAATTAAATATTATTCCATATTCAATTATAATTATAAAAATAATCAAAAATTATAAAAATGTTTTAAAATTAAATTAACAAATATTGTAAGGTACTCTGGTCTCATTTTTCAATTTTTTAAATTCATTTCGTTAATTTGTGTTTAGGCTGTCTGTAATAACTATATAATGCCTTTGAGACATCTAACACCTTAGTCTCCCGTGACCATGATTGCTGTAAAGCATTCGAAACGTCGGGAATCCAAAATCAAAATAAATTCCCGAAAAAATCCGAAAAGATAGTATTGTTTATAATACCATATCTATTTATAAAATTATTGACGATTATTGAAAAATAAAAATATTGCCATATCGATTCAGCCGTTCTCAAATGATGCGCTTATCTTATCAAGAAGCAGCATTTTATTCTTTTTGTACATATCATTTATAAAAACAACATATGATATGTGTGTTATGTATTTGTTATTTTCCTCATGGAAATAACGATGAGTTATAAACTTAATCATCTAATTTAACAATATTCCTATATTTAGGTAAACCACAAATGTTTCACAATAACATATTATGCCACATTTTATTATAATTAAACAAAATATTACTTATTTTTGAAAAAATGACTAATTATAAATAATCCATACGCTATCCGTCATTACCTAATGTTAACCAACTACTTCAACTATCCCGCAAGAAACTATGAACTAAACGACGAACGCAACCATTTCTATAAGCAGCATAATCTCGAAATACAACGCAAACCACGTACTGCTGAAGAAGTAAAAGACGACAGAAACAAGCGTTGATGACCTTCAGTCGATTGCGACAAATCGTATTATTATTTACTAGCGGCTCACCCTCGCTTCGCTCGGGTTTCCTCCCTACTTAAGTTTTAACGTTTAGTATAGATTTCTAAGAGATGAAATATTTTCCCGCAGTAAAAAGTATCCCAAATGTTAACCCGGATAACCAGTTATCATCATACCAAATTTCATCAAAATCCCTCCAGTGATTTTCCGTGATGCGGTCACAGACAGATAGACAGACACACAGACAAAAATTCTAAAAAATATAGATTCGGCCTCTGTATCGATAATAATGAACTCAATAAGATTATCCAAAAAATATGTAAAGTACAGATTCGACTCAGAATTTTATTATATACGTAGGTATGTATACATTATACACTGGTAAAGTTACTATAACTCAGTATGGACGTAATAAAAATAATGCCCTCCAGACCTATTCATTTATTTATTCACGTCACTTTCTACTACAGTCACTCTCTACTTTTTTCTATTGGCACATAATAAAAATATTTACGATATAAATCCATACTTTTTAATATTATAAATGTGAAAGTGTGTTTGTTTGTCCTTGTTTCAGGTCGAAACGGAGTGACGCATTGGCGTAGTTTTTTGTGTGAAGATAGTTCGAAGGCTGGAGAGTGACATAGGCTACTTTTTCCCGCGGGAGATTATCTTATTCCCACGGGAAAACACGTTAAAAGACAACCCAAAAAAATATTTGTGGTCAGAATTACTTGAAACTTAGTATTAATGCCCTTCAACACAATTAAAGAAATACGTGTTTTAGCATTAGCACGAGCGAAGCCGCGGGTTCTACTTGTTATTTTATAAATGTAATGCTGTACATTTGTAAGCGCATTATTTGAGAGCAGCTGAATCAAATTTGGTATTTATTTTTATTTTAAAGTGTTCGTTATATTCCGAATTACTGGATATATACCAACGGTTTCTGAGGAAAAATTATTTCACGTCAAAATAAGGAAATTTGAAAAAAACTGACAGTGCTTTTTTCTGTAGGATTTTCCTTTGATTTAAAAGATCACAAGCAATTTTATTAAAAGTTATACATAACAATATTTGTGGCATCATAAAGTAAAAATAGAAACTGTCACATATTACCACAACACAGCAAAATTTGGTCTTACAGATATCCTAAGAGCACATTTTTCTTACTCTTATATATAATATACTTACAAACGTTGGTGTGGAATTGGGCGCACTTAGTAAGAGGGTTTGCCCTTACTGTTATTTTATTAAGGACTTATGAAGAATGTTTGCAAACTTACAGTGATTTGCCTAATGCAGTTGTAAAAGCAAATAAGTCTTACAAGTGTGTACACTGGCATGGTGTAAGGGCAAAATGCCATCATGTAGTATTATTAATGCTGTTCTTAATATATTTCGGCTTATTTGCCTCTTTGTAATCCCAATTTAAGGATATTTTTTGTGTCGAACATCAAGAGAAACCAGTTATACACATGGTGTGATCTTAATATAAACTATATTAAAAATATATGTAATTAGTGTAGGTATTTGCTATGTATTGATCAGAATGTTAATCTGTCTGCGGAGTCGATTTATTCGAAGGAATTTTAATGTAAATAACATTACACCCTCGAGCCATTTCTAAAATGTCTTTTAAATAATAATTGCTAATTTAATGAAATGTGAAATAAGACAAAATATCGCCATTTTTTATATTATTACTAATCTGACTTACAGGTGATTTTATAAGAACATTTAAAAGATCAATCGTTCTTAGGTAAATGCACTGTAAGATTTAATATTCTTGTTTAACGATAGCTAAGTACGTTTTTAGACTATTGCTCCTAAATAAACACTAATCTACACAATTATCGCCGGCTATTGTTCCATAATATTTAGGGTTTTTTAGTGAAAAAAGAAGGGTTGATGTCAGGCAGGCGGCCGGTCGCAAAACTTTTGCCAAATCCTATCAGCAATACAGAAGATGTACTGCTCCGACCCCAAGTGATTGGGGAATGGGCAGGGAGACACACACACAATGAACAATGAGAATATATATATATATATATATATATATATATATATATATATATATATATATATATGCGTTCACTATAAGTATATATGTTCTTATAGTTTAAAACGTCTTTATACATACCTCTATAAGAGGTCCCTTCTTAATCAGGACATTATAAACCTTTTGTTCTTATAAATATTATGTATATTACTTTCTCCAAGACTATTTTGCTAGTTGGATGGGTTTTGATTTAGTTCATTGCAGGTATCAAAACGAGCGAACATACATATAATTAACACTTTTTAAGCTAAGTATAGAAATAAATAACACTTACATTCAATGAATAAATCAATTTCATGGGTATATTTTCCTATTTCGTTGATAGCTGTACACATGTAAGTCCCCGTGCTATCCTTTTTGACATTTTCAAGTCGTAAAGTATCCGATTTTTCATCTAAATCAGAATATTCTGAAGATTCATCATATTTAAAAGACCAAACTATTTTAGGTTTGGGGAAACCACGTGTTACGCTAAAAATAAAGAAAGACAACAAATTGAATATACACAATACAGGAAATAGAAAAATGATGAATAATTGAGATCTACAACACCATAATACATAATGTCCATTAACTGATTTTGTCACGACAGCCAATCTTACTGAGACTAGCCATGTATGTGCGCAGAAGTTATATGGTGTCCAAGTGTACGCTCAGACACATATACACTTTCAATTCTTACTATTTAGATATGTATGTACCGGTGGTAGGACTCTGTCAAACCTAAGGAGTCCAACTAGATGAGTACCACCCCCTTATCTATTTATTCCGCCAAGCAACAATGATTACATTGTTGTGTTTAGGTCTGAAGAATAAGGTAGCTAGCGCAATTATAGGCATGAGGAATATCATCTTAGTCCTCATAGTGACAACGCACCTGCGGTTCTGCATTTTTGTAACATAAAACCTAAGTGCATGAACCGTAGGTGTTATGGGCGACAAGTATCACTTTCCATCAGTTGGGCTGTCTGCTCGTTTGTCACTGAATATCATAAAAAATAAATGTTATGATTATATAAAAGCTCATTCACTCGCACACACGACCACATTCGCTCATACACCGGAGTATGAGAGTGGTAGGAATGGAAAGTGTTCTTGTGCTGGCGCATTTACTTGTGCATTATACTATCTCCTACATAGATAGCTAGTCTTATTGAGACACCATGGCTGAAATCATTAAGGAGCAAGACAATGTCTTTCTCCTGACAGACTATGAGTTATTTATTTTTATTAGAATTAGGAGGTAAAAAATAACTTACTTGCACTTTATGACCACATTAGAGCCTTCTTCAAAGACAAGATCGCTATTACTTTCGTCTATTTTAGGCAATTCTAAAACAGTAATAAATGTTTATTAGATTATACTGAGTATTACGAGTTGTACATTTTATGGTTTACATTTTACCATAAAATTAGTAAACAGCTTAATGGAAAATACATCGCACACACATAAGTATATGAGCTGAATTTTCATTCTTCATTATCATTCTTATTTTTGCTAGTTTTTGCTCGGTTTTCATTATCTTATCTATTTGAAGTCTTTCTTATTATTGATAAAAAATTGACTTAAGTCCCATAAAATTAAATCAAATTTTATGCCAGTGAGGGAAACCACACATAGAAGATATTATGTTTTTAGATTCACCGTAAACAACTGGAAAATTAACAAAATTTACTCTTACTCATATACAGTAGAACTTAATTGGTGGGATATACATATTTACCTGCATATATTGACACTTTAAAAGCTATATTTTCCGTATGATAACCATTCGATACTTCAATTTTGTATTCCCCTCCGTGATGATAATTACTTTTTTTTAAAGTCAATGACGAATTGTCCGATGACAAGTCGTAGTCGTCGTTGGAAGTGATTTCAGTTGATTTTTTGAACCAAACTATTTTTGGAGGTGGGTTTGCAACGACATTAATTTTGAAGGTAACTGACTCACCATATCTAATAGTTGTATCTGAAAGCCAATGTTATTTTTAATTTTAGCTAACACTTTATTAATCTTAGACATATATCCAAATATTTTTTTTCGTTGTATGTATTATATGTACATACCTTTAGGTTGTTCTAGGACTTGTAAAAAAGTTTTTGGTTCGACATTAACTGTGACTTCACTATCTCCTTTAAAGTTAATAGCTTTGCATGTTAGCGTTGAGCTTTCGATTACTTTATCTAAGTTTATAGTACTTATATAATCATAGGGCAGATCAACAGGTACAATCTACACAAAAAATAATAACAAATAAAAATGAGGTAAGTAGGGCTATTCTGTAACAAATTTTATGTAACGTGAAAGCTGAATCCGATAGCACACTTCATAAAATGGTTTGGGCTTACTTCATATTCATTTAATTTCAAATAAAAAGTAGAGTGTAATATACAATTATAGCCGAAACTCTACAAGGATTCTATTATAATGAGTACTTAATTCTGAAATATGCTTTCATATTTTGATGAAAATATCTAGGTAATTATTTGTGCCCTTTATAATTATGATTATTATGAAAATAATACGTACATAGGTACAGTACTAATTGGTTTAACATGCTGTTTAAGTGAAAATATATTTTGAATGAGATTACTTACTGTAGATGCCAAGGTAGTGCCTGTAGAATCTTGCCATATAACATCAGGTTTCGGATACGCATGTACTTTACATTTAATAGTAAGTGCTTCGTTGTATTCAGCAATGAGTTTAGGTTCGCCGATAATAGTAGCAGTAGGTTTTTTGCTCACGATTTCTTTTTCTGCAAAACAAATATTGACTAAATATAGAATGAATACAGTTATAACACTATAATTATTATTGTTAAATATATCATCCAGTATAATAATAAAATGAATATTTAATAAACATTATTACATACATTTGACGACACGTTTGGCTCAGTTTGTAGTGACCCTACTTGCTGTGCCAGCGGTCGCGGGTTTTAGTCCCGCTGGGGGCATTCATTTGTGTGATGGGCATGAATGTGTGTACTCTAGTCATGGGTGTTTATATTTATAATATGTATGTATTTAAAGTTATATATGTGTAGTGTATCTACCAACTATCTGGTATCCATAACATACGCCTCGTAGCTTACCATGGAACTAGATGGCACTGTGTGTTAATGTCCCAAAAAAAAAATACTACGAGTATATGTACACATATTTTCAATTATTTTACCTAATTTAACATCTTGTAGTTCAATTGTTGTCGATCCCACTCTTACAATTTTTTCTCCAGTTTCTGTGTAGCCGACAACCTAAAATAATATATGATTATAATTATATGTACTTATATGATAGGGATAAGATATAATTATAATATGATGAATTATTAAATAAAACTATCTTTTCGGATTATTTCGCGGATTTATTTTGATTTTTGGTTCCCGACGTTTCGAATGCTTTACAGCATCCATGGTCACGGGAGAGACTGTTGTTGTTGAGTCTCTCTGTTGATAGTTTTATTTAATAATGTCAAACATTCGCGTAAATCTAAGAAAGTAAATATGATGAAACTAAGAACTTCACCATACCGCTAGTTTGAAACTTTTGTTTGGTGGCATAAACGCTTCCGTCACATAAAATTGAGTATCTTCGTTGATCAACTTAAGTGGAAATGTATAAATTACATTATCGTCTGGGTCTCGAACTTCAACAGTTTTTAATGTTACGTCTTTTTTATAATTATCCAAAGCTATTGCTAAATACGACTTCTCACCTATAAAAAAAAATATTTTTTATTAATATACACAACACATAGTACACTGAGTCATATAATGAATTTATTATAAGAACTAACACTACTTTTTGGTAATACGCTATTTTTTATATAATAATAGTCTCCCATGATGGCTGAGGCCTAATTAATTTAAACTGATAATGAATTAAGGTATATATTATAAATATTAATCGTACACAGTTTTTCATCTCTGGTCTGGTCTCAGGTCTTCAATGTTAAACTCACAAAATGGTTTTCAAACCCTTCCAGATGTTTCACATAATGTTTTAACAGACAGATAGCTAATAAACAGTTATTTTTTGTCTCTCAATATGTTATATTTTAATAATTTATATCGATATATTAAAGTAAGTAATAAGCATTACATACGAAGAAATAACGCCAAACATGGATTTATCCGTAAAAGAGATGAAGTAAAAGTGTTGTCAGTCGGGACACAAAATTGTTTTAAAGGATTTAATATGAATTTGACCTTATTATTACATACTAACGACTCACCCTCGCTTCGCTCGGGTTCGTCCCTTGCTTGATTCCCAATACAAACTTTCATTCCCATTTTCACCCAACGAATGATTTCCGGGATAAAAAGTACCCTATGTCCTTCCCAGGGTTTCAAACTATCTTCTTACTAAAGTTCATCTAAATCGGTTCTGTAGATCCAGAGATTACCCCCTACAACGTCACAAACTCACAATCTCACAAGCTTTATCTCTTTATAATATTAGTATAGACTAAGCATTGCCACTCCACTTGCATATACGCTTGTAATTTATGTTATGTGGGATGTAACTCATCTTTATGGCTCTTGTAGCAAAAACATAGGTCATTCATATTATAAACTTACGATATCATTTAGACCCTGACATAAAACCCTTAGTTAAAGCCAAATTACATTTTCATAGATCAAGTAATTTTTTAAATTTCCAGTTTATTTTATGTTTGCAAGCATTATGATTTGGAGTTTAATTTGTTTAGAAATATTATTTGTAATATTGTGTAATTTTATAAAATATATATACAAATACCTGGTACGGGCTTGGTAGCGGTTTCATTTAAAGATTCCGGTTGGATAGTCGAAAATCCATGTTCAAATGTTACAGATGTTGAAGCGGTCACCATTACTGATGTTGGACCATTAGTGTCTAAAAAAATAGTGTGTAGTCCAGGAATGGCTTTTAATTTTTCTATCTAAAAATAAGGAATTTAATTTCAACAACTACATTTTTCAATTCCAGGACACACTCGTAAATTATAACTTACCCTTGTTTTTTTTGTTGTTATACTTTTGTCCGTTTCTGTACCTACTAATGCACCATCGGGCCCAATTACACGAAAATTGGGAGTTGCTGCTGATACAGATACCATAATATCCCACGATTTACTGTCAATATTAAACTAAAACCAATAGATATTTTTTAAGTAATTATATTAATAAATTCAAATTTTTAATGTGACATAAAATTTTCATACAGCAACTTTCATATTATATAGATTTTATGTTATCCTTACTTGCATGGTTTTTCCCGAACCCTGTACGAAGAACTTTTGTGCCAGCGTGGTTTTAACATGTTTTACAGATTCAATAATGTAGTCTATAATCTAAAAAAAAATCATGGGGTCTCATTAAGAACAGAGAAAAATTATTAGTTCATGTAAATATTATAAACGATTTGTTATTAAAGTTTGTGTAAAATTTACTAAAGATAATAAATAAATCTCAAAATTTTATATTCTGATTTTAAAAATATTCTTAGTATATATTTGCGTAATTTTAGTAATTATAGAAAAATTTGTAATCATCTTAGAATATATTAGAATTAGAATTATAGTGCATATATTCACAGATGACAGTAAAAGTACTGTTTATAAAATGTTCAATGACTGTTTAAAACTGTTATTGATATTAAGATTAGTTTATTAAATAAAGGATGAATTTTGCAATAACTAAGCATTTGTAAAACATAAAATAGATAGTTTGAATGTTCGCGCATCAACGACATCTATTACGTATACAGACAAAAAAATATAGCCCGAGTAATGGCCTCTGTACTATATACTTTTATGTAACTATCTCCACATTCCATAGGTTATGAATACTGCAATACCCAATTTAATATATTTTTAGTAATTTAATAGTGATTGCCTTGTTGATGTCATGTTTTTCAATATGAAAAACTTCTCCTGACGTTGCCGCTGCAAGTTTGTCGTAAACAACAAATCCATGATTAAAACCTGGACACTCGCCCGTCAGTAGAAAAGTAACCTGTAAGTGAATTAAGATGTAAGTTAACTACTGTTCGCCCAGTGGTTGAAATTCGACCATAATCATTATTTATAATTTGAGGAATACATTGTATTTAACCCTTTTTAGCGTTCCACTGCTAGCCACAGATCTCCCTTTACTACAAGGGGAATCTGGCCATATTTCACCATGCTGGTTGCACATACGGGTTGGCGGACTTCACATGTCTTTCGTAAACTTGCTAGGCTTTCAGACATGCAGGTTTCCTCATGAATACATAATATATGAAATTATAATTTTCCAATAAATATTATCTTTCTATTATTAAAATTATTATATATTCGTTTATTGTATATCTGACAAGTATATACCTTTATATGTATTTACAATAAAAAATAGTTAAGTTCCATTAAAATTAAACTAGCGACTTAACCTCGCTTTGCTCGGGTCATCCCTAGCTACGCGGATTGTGTTCTCAATTTCATGGGTTTTCATTTTTTTGCGCGGAACCCTAATCTTTTTTCTAAAATAAAAGTAGCCTTAGTTACTTCTTATAACATATTATTAAGCTATCTGCCAGTGAAAGTCCTGTCTAAATTGGTCCAGCTGTTTTGGAGATAGCCGAAACAAAGAGACAGACAGAAAAGAAAAAAAAGAAAAAAATACCTTTTTTTATAAAAACAAACTGTTTCCAATTTTTTTTATTAACGACATTAAAGCTAGTCAATAGCTATAGTAATTGCGCAGACATTCGTCAAATACTTAATTGGTCATATCTATACTTAATTATTATAATATTATCTATATACTAATATTATAAAGAAATAAAGTTTGTGAGTTTGTAAGATTATGAGTTTGTGAGCTTGTGACGTTGTAGGAGGTAATCTCTGGATCTACTAAGCCGATTTAGATGAAATTTTGTAAGAAGATATTTTGAGACCCTGGGAAGGACATATGATACTTTTTATTCCGGAAATCATCCCTTAAAGGGAAAATGGGGATGAAAGTTTGTATTGTTTGTTTGTAAAAATAAGTTCTATATAAGCCAAAAGCTTAATTTGTCAAATTCGAGGTTCGTCAAATCAGTTACTCGTCAATACATTAATTCATCAAATACCTGATTAGTCGACTTATTGTACAACTAGCACATCTGTTTTAGTTATATTTAGTTTCGGATTTGGTTTGTTTCCGAGATTTATGCGACGATCTATTAGACGGGACCTAGCTGCTATGGGCCTTTATAGAAAAGTCTTTCTGCGTGATAAAATAGAAGAATAAGAAGTAAATAGCTAACTAAACTAAATAAACACACACCATTTAAACCTACATATTTAATAACAGGTACAGGTTGACAAACAGAGAGCTTAAAGGTAAGTTTTGAGCCATTTTGTCTTTGTATATTTATTTGTATATGGGTATTGACGTAGTCAGTCGGTAGTCAACTGAACTTTATCCAAAATCCATGTAAAGTTAGCTTACACGTACGAGACAGTACGACTTTGCCCTAGAAGACCTAGGGTCCATTTTCCTTGTTTTGTTTGGATGTCCGATGTCCGCAGTGGGACGATAAAGAACTGAATAATAATAATAATTATACATTTGTATATTACATGCTTTAACGGTGTCTATATTTATTTAATATTAATACGCCAGCTCAATATCACTTTAATACCCCAAAATGCTCATTGTAATTGGGAAAGAAAAAGTAATTATTTAATGCTAACCTTAGTTGATTTCTTAAGACTTAAGCTTTTGACTCTATCAAAAAGTGCGTAATCTTTAGCCGCGGCGTCTGTATACACGTAGAAAAACGAATTCGGCTTGCTCTTTTCCAGTGCCAGTTCTATACCGGTCATTGCATATTCTGGACAGTCGTCCCCACCGTCCACATTAATTGCAGCTAAAGCTCGCTTGAACTCACTTCTATCTCTTGTTATTGTTCTTAATTGTGTACCTAAATGTTGAGAATTATAATATAAAATTATACTATAAATTATTAAAATTAACAGAGGAAGATAAAATGAAAAATATATTTTAAAATATGATCGATAATATAATATAACTAAAATAACTTTTAATATACTATGATATCAACTTTGCATTAAAAATAAAATTTATTGATTAATTAATAACTTAACATACCTGGATCATTAAAAGTGACTAAAATAAAGTCATCTATTTTAGTAGCATTTGAATTGAGAACAGCATCAAACAGTTTATTCGTTTTTTCCTTTACTTGCGCAATATCATCATACATTGATCCTGTATCGTCAATGACGAAAGTAAGGCTTCCCTTCGATGTATCTCCATTCACAGACAGTAAAATTTTGCATAATATATATAAAAAAATGAGAATTTTGCTCATCATTATTACACAAAGATTACGACCGAAGTTAATACAAGAGCGCGTCTCGCTGGCCTTTTTGAACTGGGCTTATAATAACACCTTATCACATATTATAATATTCTTGGAACTATCGACCAACTGTAGTTTATTATTAAATATGCTTTATTGTAATTTTTGGGGTATTTCCCTTAGAGTAAACACTTCAAAGTATATCTTTTGTATTTATCACAACTGATAGATCATATGTATCTAGAAATGTCATTATTTTTTCAGATATTTTGGTGATTTTATTTTGATTTTCTGTTTTGGACATTTTGAATGCTTCACAGCAAACAAAACAAAAGCAGTGGTAGCCCAGTGGTGATGTGCTCGCTTGGGTAACCAAATGAAGCGAGTTCAAATGCCGGGTCTCGCAACTCTGATATTTTCATGTGCGAATCATTTTCAACATGATTACCACTTGTCTTACGGTGAAGGAAAGCATCGTGAGGAAATCTGCATGTCTGAGAGAACCTAGCAAGTTTTCGAAAGACATGTAAAGTCCGCCAACCCGCACTTAGCCAGCGTGGTGGACTATGGCCTGATCCCCCTCGTATTGAAGGGAGGCCCATGCCCAGCAGTGGTACGTTAAAAAGGGCTAATACAATACAGCAAACAAGGTCAAACTATGTTTTTAGAAGTTTCAAGCCATAGTTTTCAGACTTGAGTCTACCTAATATAAAAATATTCGTAAAAATCCATTCAGTATCAGTAAAAAGCAAAGATATCGCGTAACACATACACGAAAAACATACGTACATCCAAATATTATAATATAAATTATATTAGCGCACTTTTTTGACTCAGCGTGAACCAAACACCTATTAAGGCTTAGTTTACGCTAAGTCTGCAAAATGCGGTAATATAATCATTAAGAAATCTAGCCTTTGGCTGTCGAATGTTGCATCATCATATTAAAACACACTTGATACTAAAAAACGCTTGACGATACGTTTGGCTTAGTTTGTAGTGATCCTACTTGATGTGCCAGTGGTCACGGGTTCGAGTCCCGCTGGGGGCATTCATTTGTGTGATGAGCATAAATGTTTGTACTCCAGTCATGGGTGTTTATATTTATAATATGTATGTATTTAAAGTTATATATGTATAGTGTTTCAACTATCTGGTATCCATAACACAAGCCTCATAGCTTACCATCGAACTAGATGGCGCTGTATGTTAATGTCCCAACATATTTATTTATTTAAAAAAAACAACTTTGTATCAATATACAGTTAAGGAATTATTAGGTAAGTATAGATAGATTTAAAAAAATAACAGTTTAGTAAGGTATAAAATTAGGCCGGCCCCTGGGTAAGTTCGAACTTACAAAATGTGAAGAGGAGTTTTAATTTGGCAGAGTATTGCAATTTGGTGTTATTCCGAATTTGAAAGCTTGACTTGACTATAGAGCAGTTTTTACACGACTACGGCGAAGCAAAAGGAGGTATATGATTTTGAACGGTAGGTATGTATAATACATACATACGTATATGTTCATATGTTCCCTCTTAATTTCTAAATATATACTACTATATATATACTATATAATATCTTAAATTTTTGTAGTGCCGTAGAATTACTCTGTAGAGTATGGAAGCTAAATTGAAAACGATTTAAAAGGCTATATGAAAATGAGAAAATTTCTTATAATTAAAAACGATAAAGATATTTTTAACTTTAACTTTTGAGTGGTATATTAAGATATTTTACAATGCTTGGCTATTTTCTTTAATTCACATTTTGAATCATACTGTTATCGTCATAAAATAATATCGTGGTTTTATTATTCATGTATTTATAAATTAATAAGCACACTAACAATAACATGTTTAAATAATTCAATACACTTAGTCAACAAAAAAATGCATATCAATTACAAGTATACATTTGTTTTGTAATAATAACATTAACTAGCGGCTCACCCTCACTTGGCTCATGTTCATCCCCACTTACGTTTTATGGTTTAGTATAATGTTTTGACTAGAATAACGGGCTATCATTATACCAAATTTTATCAAAATCCTTCCAGTGGTTTTTTCGTGATGCGGTCACAGACAGACAGACAAAAATTCTAAAAACTATAGATTCGGGGTCTGTATTGATGATAAGGTCTATTTCAATAAGATTTTTCAAAAAATGTTAAATTTATAGATTCGGCTTAGTTACTATTTTATTACTGGTACGTATAGATAAGTTCTTTTTTTAAAGTATCATATAATAATTTAAACATTTTATATGTCAATAATATAATAATTAGGAGCAAATAGTTGTATAAAAGAAATAGAAAAAGTAAGAACAAGATTATTTGAATAAACAAAAAAAAAATAATTTAAAATCTTATATTTATTAGGTACATTTAAGAGGCAGTATTTTAGTGCACGTTTAGTGTATTTTAGTGCACTCTCATTTTGCTCGAGTGCATCCTTAGGGATTGAGGAACACATAGAAGAAAATCATACAAAGTAACATTCATTTTTATTTATACAGATATAGAAATAAAAAATGTAGAAATAGTAAAAAGTATATATACTTTACACATTATTATTTATTAACTTTTGAAAGTTTATAATTAAATGTGCGATTGACTATTTTGTCGAAATACTATATGTTTTCTTATATCTTTAACATAATTATTGTCATAAGCATTACTTTAAAGGTTTCATGAATGGAAAGAGATTGTCATAATGAAATGCTGTCATAAATTCCTTAACATTGCAGCAAAACACGAAACCCTTTGAAGGATCATGCCATTGAGAGCCATACATCCACTTTGTTTTGTTGCAAATATCCCTTTTGCAAGGAATTTGCTTTAGAGCTTCTGTAACTTTTAGGTTTGGAGTATTCATTACAACAATTGCGAGTCCTTCTTCATTCCCTCGTTCTCGTGGGTTTTGTCTATATATCACTAACTAAAAAGTAAAATTTTGAGATTAGTATCTGTCTCCAAAAAGTTGTTTTGTAGAAGGTTATATAAAACCCTTCTTTGGTGTTCTAATGGCTAGCATGTACGACTGCAGATCCTAGGTCCGGAGGCCCTAGGTTCGAGTCCCATGTTGGGCCTAGTTCAGTTATTGAGTTTTTCTGTTTATAAATTCTCGGTAGCCGATCGGAGTTATGAGTTAGCAGTATTTGACCCCCGTGCCTCAGAGAGCACGAACGGTCCTGCGCCTGAGTTGTCACCAATCATGTCAAATTATGAAGAGTGCGCATAAGTCTGCGAGGACAGTTATGCTCTATAATATCTACTACGAAAATGGCTAATCTTCAGGAGATTGGCCGCCGTAGCGAAATAGAACAATCAGTAGGACGTTATATAAAATATAACCTATATATACCTGTATAACCTATATATTTAATGGGCATTTACTTTAATGGGCCTTACATGTCAACTTTAATTGTTCTCCTGTTCTTAAAGTTATGTTACTTGAATCAGGGGGATCTATTGTTGGAGACACTAAAAATATACGTAATTTATATTAAAAAATACTGATCACAAAACTGAGCTCGATATTAAAAAAAGTTTTTTTTTAGAAAATACAGTACTACGTAATTTCAATCTTTATTTGTTACAGCTTTTATACTTACTAACAGGAAACACTTTTATTTTTCGCTTCGTGACACCAATTTTATTTTGCGCCCGACATGAATAATCACCTCCATCATTAATTGAAACTGTAAAACTAAAAATTACACAAATTTAGGTCCAGTATTTCCTTTACTTGTAAATTTTTAATAACTAAATTATAATGGTAGATTTTTTACTGTTTGGTTTAAAATAGTCAAAGTATAAAACTGTTAACACAGTAATTTCAATATATTTAACTGCCCCGTTAATCCAATGGCTAGTATGCACGGCTACAGGTTTTCAGGTCCTAGGTCCACCCAAATTTAGTAATTGAGTTTTTCAGTCAAGAAATGATCAGTAATACTCGGAGTTAAGTAGTTGGTGGTTTACCCCCGTGCTTCGTAGGGCGTTCCTCATTGTTCTTGTCGAGTCATCATTCCGGAAATGAGAGTGACAGGAATAGAGTGCACTTGTATTTGAGCACATATTTGTGCATTGTGTATTTCTTCTGCGCAGATGACTAGTCACATTGAGATTGGCCGCCGTTGCCAAAATCAACCACTAGAGTATTATTAACATCTTAATGATATTTGAGTGTGTAATAAAAAGTGAAGCTTATGAAATAAGATTTTAGTAAATCTACAGTTACCACTTTATATTCGAGGTTAAAATTTAAGCTGAAGGACTATTTATTGTACACCACTAAATATGTATAAGACATTGCCAAAACCACATCAACAGCTGCACATATTTAGAGGGGTGACAGTTTTTTACGGGAACCATTGCGTTTATCAACAAAAAGGGCCCTGGAACAGATTTTAAGGCGCAAAGGTATTGTGCCTCACTAAAAGTTACAATGCTACTTTTACGCACCTTAAGTTATTATTTCTGGTAATGAAATATTTACTTGAAATTTTTTCAACTTCCGTATTATTGACAAACCAATGCACAGTAGCTCTTGGAGTTGCACTTACTTCACAAGGTAACGTTGCCTTTTCCCCAATTTTAAAGCTTACTCTGGGATTTGACTTCGTTATAACCGGAGCATCTAGATTAACATATTAACAATTAATTTTACCATTAACAGTGTAAATAATACGCATGAGATAAATGCTCTAATTAATACAAATAAATAATTCCTATCAGCAGTACCGAAGATGTACTGCCCCGACCCAAGTGATTGGGAAATGGACAGGGAGATGATAAAACAATAATATAACTTTGAAATTAAAATTTAAAAATACCCCAACACAACCTATTCACTGAGGCCATACTGCAGTACTTTAGTAGTAAGTAAAGAGTTGAGTATCTTGCAGATTCCAGGTGACACTACAGCATCAGGCCTACGCTACCATATATACCATTGCAATATCAATTAAGTAACGTGATACCAACTTTCGGATCGATTAGATCTGTGAAAGATGTTCATATTCTTTTACAGTCTAGAAAAGAACTGAAAGTCTGCAAATGGATAAACGGATGGTTTCGACTTATAGCTAAGAACACACTGGATAATGTCACCTTTGAAACAAAACACTAAATTAAAATTAGTTCATATAATTGGGCGCTACACTGCCACACACAAATACACAAATACACAAGTTAAACTTATAAATCCCCTCTTTTTGCATCTGGGATTAATAAATTAAAAATGAAACTCTTTTTATATTGTACTAATTTAGTAGGTCCTATTTGTCTTTGTATATTGTAATTATATAATTATACAAACGTTGCAAATACATACATTCAACAACTACTTCAATTTCAAATTTGTCGTATGCTAAGTCATTTTTGGCTATGCACCTGTAAACTCCACTATGTTCTATTTCAACTTGCTTGAAGTGAAGAACGTTATCACGTTCAGTAACTAGATCTTCAAATTCAGTCGAAGAATAATTTTTTTTATACGACCATGAAATGACAGGTTCTGGTTTACCCTTGATAATGCTAAAAATAATAGAAAGAAATCTGTTATCAAAATTTTAAATTCTATTATTATTCATTTAAAATTTGTATCACCAAGTTATTTTTACAAAAAAATCATAATTTAAACTGAATAGTATATATTTTAGTAATAAGTATAAATGACAAGATTTAATATTTCGTGTAATATAGTCATTAAACTACTCTACTGTGAAGTAAAGATGGAAATAATTTTAATAATTCTGAATACCTGCAATATATATCTAGATCTGAACCCTTAATAGGAAAATATGTTGCAATAGTTTTATTAATTATTGGAGGTTCTGAAAAAAGAATCAATAATTAATAAGAATAAAATTATATTAACTTTTTCATATATTTGCGTAGAAACGCAAGAATTGAAAATTTTCTCTTCTATGTTAGATCAAAATCTTTATATTATATTTAAACGATTCAAGTTATTTATTAAAAATATACAATACTTAAGATAATTGCTTTTATAAAAGCGCACCGAGATGTAACATTACAAAACTTACCTGCACCAACAATAAAGACGTTGAATAAAATTTTTTCTGTTTTAAACTTATTAGATATTTCGACATAGTATTTCCCTTTTAAGTAAGGTTGCATTTGTTTTATTCTCAACGTTATATTATCCGGTGTTATTTCTAAATCTTCATTGTTACTTAGTTTTTTATTATTTCTATACCAAGAAATTTGAGCAGGTGGATAGGCATCGATCTTACATTTTAGTTCTTTACTTTTCTTGTACTCTATTTTAATATCTAAATAAAAGAAATTATATTCATATACATTTTTTTGTTACACATACAAAAAATCTAAGTACGTTGTAACATTACCTTACCTTTTGGATATTCGAATATATTCAAAAACATATTTTGTTTTACCTCTAAGACCACTGATTTCTCGTCGTAACCTTCCTCATTTTTAGCCTTACAAGTCAATGTAGTATTCTTATCAGCTTTTGTTATATTTAAAATACTCAAATACTTGGGAGAGTCCAAATCCGTAACCTTAAGAAAGTGTATTTCCAAGTTTATTTAATATTTTATAATATGAAAACAAGTTCATTATTTAGTAAACTACTATTTGATAGTATAGAAAGATAAAATAGTATAGAAATAAATAGTATAAAAATTGTCGTACATTTTTTTTAAATATATATCTGTTTGTGTCATCTGTTAAGAACCTTACCTTAGATTCAAAAAAATTACCATCATTATCCATCCATGTAATATTTGGCTTCGGGTTTGCACGAACTTGACATTTTATCGATAATACGTCATCAAATTCTAACTTTACATGCGAATCTCCTAGAATCGAAACTTGTGGAGGAACGTGGTTTGTTTCTTCTGCAATGCAAATTTTAATAATATATATTTATCAATTTATATAGCTTTATGTATGATACTAGCATTGCCAGCGGCTTCGCCCGCGTTCAGGTGACCAAAAGGTTTTACATATTAGTATTTTTTTTTTTTTTTTTATGGGACTAAGGGGGCAAACGGGCAGGAGGCTCACCTGATGAAAAGTGATCACCGCCGCCCATGGACATCTACAACACCGCAGGGCTTGCAGACGCGTTGCCGGCCTTTAAGAAAGGAATACGCTCTCTTCTTGAAGGTGGCCAGGTCGTAGCGGTTCGGAAAGACCGCCGGCGATAGCTGGTTCCACAGAGTGGTTGTGCGGGGCAGAAAATGCCTTAAAAATCGCACTGTTGTGGAACGCTGGACATCGAGATGGTGTGGATGGAATTTACTATTTTGGCGCGATGTCCGATGGTGAAATTCAGCAGCCGGGATCAGTCCGAACAATTCCTCGGAACACTCCCCGTGATAGATGCGGTAGAAGATGCAGAGTGATCCAACATCTCTACGCAGAGCTAAAGGATCAAGCCGATCGGAGAGAGCTTGATCGTCGATCACTCGAATCGCCCTACGTTGAATGCGGTCAAATGGAAGTAGCTGGTACTGGGGAGCTCCCGCCCAAAGATGAGAACAGTACTCCATGTGGGGCCGAATTTGCGCCTTATAAAGAATAAGACGCTGACGCGACGTGAAGTACTGTCTCGCCTTGCTGAGCACACCAAGCTTCTTTGAGGCCAGTTTGGCCTTACCTTCCAATTGACCACGGAACTGGACGTTGCTCGAGATGTCGACGCCAAGTATTCCGATACTAGCTGTGGGAGACAGAGGAGTGTCCTCAAATTGAGGAGCTACGATAAATGGCGACTTTTTAGCGGTTAACGCGCAAACTTGTGTCTTTTTGGGGTTGAATTGGACTAAGTTTAGTCGACCCCAATCCGAGACTTTGGTTAACAGAGATTCGACTTCAGACACAAGTTTGTTCCGGCTCTCGTCGACGTATTCCCGAGAAATATTAGCGCGGCCAGTGTACAGCGCATCCACAGTGCTATCGTCTGCATAGCAATGAATGTTGCTAATTTGCAACATGTCATTGATATGCAGAAGGAACAGAGTAGGAGACAGTACACAGCCTTGTGGAACACCAGCATTGACATATTTAGGATCAGAGCAAGCACCGTCGACAACGACCTTAATGCTCCGATCTGCCAAAAAGCTGGTGATCCAGTTGCAAAATTTCTCGGGGAGCCCATAGGAAGGTAGCTTCGAAAGAAGAGCTTTGTGCCATACCCGATCAAAGGCCTTTGCTATGTCCAGACTGGCTGCAAGCGCCTCCCCCTTGGTCTCAACTGCTTCTGCCCATCTATGTGTCAGGTAAATTAGAAGATCACCGGCTGAGCGACCTCGACGGAAGCCGTACTGGCGGTCGCTAATCAGCCGGTGCTCTTCTAGGTACCGCAGGAGCTGGCAGTTGATAATGGACTCCATTATCTTAGAGAACAAGGAGGTAATGGCTATAGGCCTGTAATTGGACGGATCCGAGCGGTTGCCCTTTTTTGGGATCGGGTGCACTAAAGCGGCCTTCCAAGATTTCGGGACTACGCCTGATGAATAGGAGTACCGGAAAAGACGCGTTAAGACCGGTGCCAACTCCGGAGCACATGTCTTCAACACGATCGGAGGGATGCCATCGGGCCCACTCGACTTATGAATGTCCAAGGAAAGAAGTGCTTTGCGAACTGCACTTTGCCGGAACTGAACTTCCGGCATCGTAGTATCACACCGCGGGATTATCGGTGGTGAGTTTCCTTGGTCATTCAGGTTTTGTCTATATATCACTAACTAAAAAGTAAAATTTTGAGATTAGTATCTGTCTCCAAAAAGTTGTTTTGTAGAAGGTTATATAAAACCCTTCTTTGGTGTTCTAATGGCTAGCATGTACGACTGCAGATCCTAGGTCCGGAGGCCCTAGGTTCGAGTCCCATGTTGGGCCTAGTTCAGTTATTGAGTTTTTCTGTTTATAAATTCTCGGTAGCCGATCGGAGTTATGAGTTAGCAGTATTTGACCCCCGTGCCTCAGAGAGCACGAACGGTCCTGCGCCTGAGTTGTCACCAATCATGTCAAATTATGAAGAGTGCGCATAAGTCTGCGAGGACAGTTATGCTCTATAATATCTACTACGAAAATGGCTAATCTTCAGGAGATTGGCCGCCGTAGCGAAATAGAACAATCAGTAGGACGTTATATAAAATATAACCTATATATACCTGTATAACCTATATATTTAATGGGCATTTACTTTAATGGGCCTTACATGTCAACTTTAATTGTTCTCCTGTTCTTAAAGTTATGTTACTTGAATCAGGGGGATCTATTGTTGGAGACACTAAAAATATACGTAATTTATATTAAAAAATACTGATCACAAAACTGAGCTCGATATTAAAAAAAGTTTTTTTAGAAAATACAGTACTACGTAATTTCAATCTTTATTTGTTACAGCTTTTATACTTACTAACAGGAAACACTTTTATTTTTCGCTTCGTGACACCAATTTTATTTTGCGCCCGACATGAATAATCACCTCCATCATTAATTGAAACTGTAAAACTAAAAATTACACAAATTTAGGTCCAGTATTTCCTTTACTTGTAAATTTTTAATAACTAAATTATAATGGTAGATTTTTTACTGTTTGGTTTAAAATAGTCAAAGTATAAAACTGTTAACACAGTAATTTCAATATATTTAACTGCCCCGTTAATCCAATGGCTAGTATGCACGGCTACAGGTTTTCAGGTCCTAGGTCCACCCAAATTTAGTAATTGAGTTTTTCAGTCAAGAAATGATCAGTAATACTCGGAGTTAAGTAGTTGGTGGTTTACCCCCGTGCTTCGTAGGGCGTTCCTCATTGTTCTTGTCGAGTCATCATTCCGGAAATGAGAGTGACAGGAATAGAGTGCACTTGTATTTGAGCACATATTTGTGCATTGTGTATTTCTTCTGCGCAGATGACTAGTCACATTGAGATTGGCCGCCGTTGCCAAAATCAACCACTAGAGTATTATTAACATCTTAATGATATTTGAGTGTGTAATAAAAAGTGAAGCTTATGAAATAAGATTTTAGTAAATCTACAGTTACCACTTTATATTCGAGGTTAAAATTTAAGCTGAAGGACTATTTATTGTACACCACTAAATATGTATAAGACATTGCCAAAACCACATCAACAGCTGCACATATTTAGAGGGGTGACAGTTTTTTACGGGAACCATTGCGTTTATCAACAAAAAGGGCCCTGGAACAGATTTTAAGGCGCAAAGGTATTGTGCCTCACTAAAAGTTACAATGCTACTTTTACGCACCTTAAGTTATTATTTCTGGTAATGAAATATTTACTTGAAATTTTTTCAACTTCCGTATTATTGACAAACCAATGCACAGTAGCTCTTGGAGTTGCACTTACTTCACAAGGTAACGTTGCCTTTTCCCCAATTTTAAAGCTTACTCTGGGATTTGACTTCGTTATAACCGGAGCATCTAGATTAACATATTAACAATTAATTTTACCATTAACAGTGTAAATAATACGCATGAGATAAATGCTCTAATTAATACAAATAAATAATTCCTATCAGCAGTACCGAAGATGTACTGCCCCGACCCAAGTGATTGGGAAATGGACAGGGAGATGATAAAACAATAATATAACTTTGAAATTAAAATTTAAAAATACCCCAACACAACCTATTCACTGAGGCCATACTGCAGTACTTTAGTAGTAAGTAAAGAGTTGAGTATCTTGCAGATTCCAGGTGACACTACAGCATCAGGCCTACGCTACCATATATACCATTGCAATATCAATTAAGTAACGTGATACCAACTTTCGGATCGATTAGATCTGTGAAAGATGTTCATATTCTTTTACAGTCTAGAAAAGAACTGAAAGTCTGCAAATGGATAAACGGATGGTTTCGACTTATAGCTAAGAACACACTGGATAATGTCACCTTTGAAACAAAACACTAAATTAAAATTAGTTCATATAATTGGGCGCTACACTGCCACACACAAATACACAAATACACAAGTTAAACTTATAAATCCCCTCTTTTTGCATCTGGGATTAATAAATTAAAAATGAAACTCTTTTTATATTGTACTAATTTAGTAGGTCCTATTTGTCTTTGTATATTGTAATTATATAATTATACAAACGTTGCAAATACATACATTCAACAACTACTTCAATTTCAAATTTGTCGTATGCTAAGTCATTTTTGGCTATGCACCTGTAAACTCCACTATGTTCTATTTCAACTTGCTTGAAGTGAAGAACGTTATCACGTTCAGTAACTAGATCTTCAAATTCAGTCGAAGAATAATTTTTTTTATACGACCATGAAATGACAGGTTCTGGTTTACCCTTGATAATGCTAAAAATAATAGAAAGAAATCTGTTATCAAAATTTTAAATTCTATTATTATTCATTTAAAATTTGTATCACCAAGTTATTTTTACAAAAAAATCATAATTTAAACTGAATAGTATATATTTTAGTAATAAGTATAATTGACAAGATTTAATATTTCGTGTAATATAGTCATTAAACTACTCTACTGTGAAGTAAAGATGGAAATAATTTTAATAATTCTGAATACCTGCAATATATATCTAGATCTGAACCCTTAATAGGAAAATATGTTGCAATAGTTTTATTAATTATTGGAGGTTTTGAAAAAAGAATCAATAATTAATAAGAATAAAATTATATTAACTTTTTCATATATTTGCGTAGAAACGCAAGAATTGAAAATTTTCTCTTCTATGTTAGATCAAAATCTTTATATTATATTTAAACGATTCAAGTTATTTATTAAAAATATACAATACTTAAGATAATTGCTTTTATAAAAGCGCACCGAGATGTAACATTACAAAACTTACCTGCACCAACAATAAAGACGTTGAATAAAAATTTTTCTGTTTTAAACTTATTAGATATTTCGACATAGTATTTCCCTTTTAAGTAAGGTTGCATTTGTTTTATTCTCAACGTTATATTATCCGGTGTTATTTCTAAATCTTCATTGTTACTTAGTTTTTTATTATTTCTATACCAAGAAATTTGAGCAGGTGGATAGGCATCGATCTTACATTTTAGTTCTTTACTTTTCTTGTACTCTATTTTAATATCTAAATAAAAGAAATTATATTCATATACATTTTTTTGTTACACATACAAAAAATCTAAGTACGTTGTAACATTACCTTACCTTTTGGATATTCGAATATATTCAAAAACATATTTTGTTTTACCTCTAAGACCACTGATTTCTCGTCGTAACCTTCCTCATTTTTAGCCTTACAAGTCAATGTAGTATTCTTATCAGCTTTTGTTATATTTAAAATACTCAAATACTTGGGAGAGTCCAAATCCGTAACCTTAAGAAAGTGTATTTCCAAGTTTATTTAATATTTTATAATATGAAAACAAGTTCATTATTTAGTAAACTACTATTTGATAGTATAGAAAGATAAAATAGTATCGAAATAAATAGTATAAAAATTGTCGTACATTTTTTTTAAATATATATCTGTTTGTGTCATCTGTTAAGAACCTTACCTTAGATTCAAAAAAATTACCATCATTATCCATCCATGTAATATTTGGCTTCGGGTTTGCACGAACTTGACATTTTATCGATATTACGTCATCAAATTCTAACTTTACATGCGAATCTCCTAGAATCGAAACTTGTGGAGGAACGTGGTTTGTTTCTTCTGCAATGCAAATTTTAATAATATATATTTATCAATTTATATAGCTTTATGTATGATACTAGCATTGCCAGCGGCTTCGCCCGCGTTCAGGTGACCAAAAGGTTTTACATATTAGTATTTTTTTTTTTTTTTTTTATGGGACTAAGGGGGCAAACGGGCAGGAGGCTCACCTGATGAAAAGTGATCACCGCCGCCCATGGACATCTACAACACCGCAGGGCTTGCAGACGCGTTGCCGGCCTTTAAGAAAGGAATACGCTCTCTTCTTGAAGGTGGCCAGGTCGTAGCGGTTCGGAAAGACCGCCGGCGATAGCTCGTTCCACAGAGTGGTTGTGCGGGGCAGAAAATGCCTTAAAAATCGCACTGTTGTGGAACGCTGGACATCGAGATGGTGTGGATGGAATTTACTATTTTGGCGCGATGTCCGATGGTGAAATTCAGCAGCCGGGATCAGTCCGAACAATTCCTCGGAACACTCCCCGTGATAGATGCGGTAGAAGATGCAGAGTGATCCAACATCTCTACGCAGAGCTAAAGGATCAAGCCGATCGGAGAGAGCTTGATCGTCGATCACTCGAATCGCCCTACGTTGAATGCGGTCAAATGGAAGTAGCTGGTACTGGGGAGCTCCCGCCCAAAGATGAGAACAGTACTCCATGTGGGGCCGAATTTGCGCCTTATAAAGAATAAGACGCTGACGCGACGTGAAGTACTGTCTCGCCTTGCTGAGCACACCAAGCTTCTTTGAGGCCAGTTTGGCCTTACCTTCCAATTGACCACGGAACTGGACGTTGCTCGAGATGTCGACGCCAAGTATTCCGATACTAGCTGTGGGAGACAGAGGAGTGTCCTCAAATTGAGGAGCTACGATAAATGGCGACTTTTTAGCGGTTAACGCGCAAACTTGTGTCTTTTTGGGGTTGAATTGGACTAAGTTTAGTCGACCCCAATCCGAGACTTTGGTTAACAGAGATTCGACTTCAGACACAAGTTTGTTCCGGCTCTCGTCGACGTATTCCCGAGAAATATTAGCGCGGCCAGTGTACAGCGCATCCACAGTGCTATCGTCTGCATAGCAATGAATGTTGCTAATTTGCAACATGTCATTGATATGCAGAAGGAACAGAGTAGGAGACAGTACACAGCCTTGTGGAACACCAGCATTGACATATTTAGGATCAGAGCAAGCACCGTCGACAACGACCTTAATGCTCCGATCTGCCAAAAAGCTGGTGATCCAGTTGCAAAATTTCTCGGGGAGCCCATAGGAAGGTAGCTTCGAAAGAAGCGCTTTGTGCCATACCCGATCAAAGGCCTTTGCTATGTCCAGACTGGCTGCAAGCGCCTCCCCCTTGGTCTCAACTGCTTCTGCCCATCTATGTGTCAGGTAAATTAGAAGATCACCGGCTGAGCGACCTCGACGGAAGCCGTACTGGCGGTCGCTAATCAGCCGGTGCTCTTCTAGGTACCGCAGGAGCTGGCAGTTGATAATGGACTCCATTATCTTAGAGAACAAGGAGGTAATGGCTATAGGCCTGTAATTGGACGGATCCGAGCGGTTGCCCTTTTTTGGGATCGGGTGCACTAAAGCGGCCTTCCAAGATTTCGGGACTACGCCTGATGAATAGGAGTACCGGAAAAGACGCGTTAAGACCGGTGCCAACTCCGGAGCACATGTCTTCAACACGATCGGAGGGATGCCATCGGGCCCACTCGACTTATGAATGTCCAAGGAAAGAAGTGCTTTGCGAACTGCACTTTGCCGGAACTGAACTTCCGGCATCGTAGTATCACACCGCGGGATTATCGGTGGTGAGTTTCCTTGGTCATTCAGAGTCGAATTGGACGCGAAGAGAGTGCCCAGTAGTTCGGCTTTCTCCTTCGCGGTATGAGCCAGCGAGTCATTCTCCGTGTGCAGAGGTGGAAAAGAAGGCTTACAGAAATTCCCTAAAACAGCTTTGGAGAGAGACCAAAACGCACGTGTTCCCGAAGGGAGACGCCCCAATCTCTCGCCAATTCTGCCGATGTGATTCGACTTCGCATTAGCAATACTACTTTTGAAGGACCTGGAGGCAAAGTTATACTCCTTTTTAAAGGCGCTAGTATTTACATCACTAGACGCCGACGCGACAGCCCAGGCTTGGTAGCATTCCAGCTTTCGGCGAGATGCCATCTTGCAGGAGTGACCAAACCAAGGCTGGGATTTGCCTCCGATGGGCACTGCAGAGAACGGAATAAATAGTTCTATACCCTGAAGTACCACATCGGTGACAGAATCAGCAACGACGTCTGGATCATCTGGCGAGAAGCAAATTTGCCCCCATGGGTAGGACGCAAAGAATGACCGCATCCCGTCCCAATCCGCTGACCTGTAATGCCATACACGGCGACAGCCCGCAAAGCGAGGCCGTGTTGAGCGCGTGACTGGCACTGTACTCCGGACAAGACAGTGGTCCGACGAGCCAAGAGGAGGATCGACGGAGACCAGGTAGCCGTCCGGATGAGAGGTTAACAGAAGGTCCAACAGGGAAGGTGTATGATCTTCCACATCAGGGATTCGCGTTGGCGAGGTAACCAGTTGTGTCAGATCACGTACCAATGTGAAATCGTGAACAGATCTCCCCGCATGATCGGTGGTACGTGATCTAAGCCATTCAGTATGATGGGCGTTAAAGTCGCCGAGAATCACGATCTCTGCGGATGGGATCTGCTGGAGCACGGAATCTGTAGCCATTTGCATGTGCTCAACGAGTCGGTCAGTTTCGGCATTGCCGCTATGAGACCTATACAGGCACGCGTAGATTCGCGGATGGTCGTCGCACTCTACACGTAGCCAGAGGATGGATAGGTCCCGCCCTTCAAGGCTGCTGAGGCGACGAGAGCAGATGTCCTCTCTGACGTACACGCACACTCCAGCCCGCGGTACAAAGGAATGCTCCAGATTATACCCCGGGTAAGAGAGGAAAGAGGTGTCAGCCGGGGACGATATCTGCGTCTCGGTAAGGAAGAGCAAGGCCGGCTTCGCCGTCTCAAGGTGGAAGTGGACGGCGTTCAAGTTGGAATTTAGTCCCCTTATGTTGCAGAAGTCCACAGCAAGTGTGAAAGGGGTAGCCTTATGTTGCCTGCTCCGATTGCCCCGAACAGAAGACGAGAGCGCAAAATTGCCCCCCCCCAGAATTCGGAGGGCTGCCTGGGCACCCACGGTTAGGTAGTGTACGAGCTGAACTTGGATGCCCAGAGAGGGATTCTCCACCGCGATGTGCGCTGGTGGTACCCTCCTGGGGTAGACTGACCAAATTTCGCACTATCATAGATTTAGTGGTGTGGGGGAGGGGTGGGGAGTGGGCCTCCCGGGACTCTCACTTACCGAACGAAACGCGACAGCAAAGCTGCCACTTTACGCCGGACTTCTGTGAGAGAGTGGTACTTGACGGGACGTGCCGGCCCATTCGGCTGCTACCCGAAGGTAACTAGCATGGCACTACCACAGTTTTTGGTTGACTGATTGCACTGGTGGAATAATCTCTGTCACTAGATTATCCCACCAGCGGGTGGTGGGGTCGTCACGTCCCGACGCCGGAGTATACTCTTACATTGCAGTTTTTGTATTTTTTCTCAGAAATGAGACATTTTTGACCCGGATGACCAGCTATCATCATACCAAATTTCATCAAAATCTGTCCAATGGTTTTCTCGTGATGCGGTAACAGACAAAAATTCTAAAAACTATAGATTCGATCTCTGTATCTGTATGATATCTGTGTCTATTTCAATCAGATTTTCCAAAAAATATTCAATGTACAGATTCGACTTAGTTACAATTTTATTATATGTATAGATTTATCAATTTATATAGCTTTAGTACCATCTGCTTAGAGCCTTATTTCATTAGAAACCGACAGAAAGGATTTTTACAAAAAAAATCCATCCCACGGTAGCCGTACATTTTTCTAGCATAAAAAGTAACCAATGTGATATTGCAGAGTATCTGTCTTATGCATTCCGATCTGGATCGTTCAGCCGTTCTGGCATGATTGAGTAACAAACATCCAACCAAACTTTAGCATTTATAATATTAATAAGATGTATTAATAATGGGATAAAAAAGCCTATGGAAGTTTTTTAATGTTTCATTAACTTGCCGTCAGAACGCATTAACCGCGATTTTTAAGCATGATATACATTTAGACAAACTTTCATCCCCTATTTTTCCCCCTTAGGGGAATAATATTAAAAAATTCTTTCTTAAATGATGCCTAGAGTATAAAATCATATTCTCTCCAAATTTTAATTATCTATCATCTAACATCTTCAGTTAGGGCTGAACGTTGATAAGTCAGTGAACCGTGACATTGCCTTGTATATATGTATAATGAAAATATGTATTGCGAGTGTACCTTAGGAGATAGATATATGATATTGTGGACTTTTCTGTTTTACCGTGGGAATGAAAGATTTTTCTGTAGTAAAAGGTATCCTAAATGTTAACCAGAGTAATAAGTTATCACTACCCAAAATTTAAAAGTTTATTTCATAAATACTAAGCAGTTGACAATCATAAGAAGTTTCTCTTTTGGACTCACAATATTTAAAAAGAATCTTAATTACCTATTTTAACTATATCCGGGTTGGGATGTTCGATTGTGGTTATTGTAACTCTTGTAATTTTTTCTTTTGATTTAGTTAAACCATGAATCTGTAAGCAGCAACATATACATTTAATTTAAGCCTTGGTTTATTAGTTTATTTTATAGAATATAGAATAATACAGGCAGTGGTAGCTCAGTGAAGCGCGAATGTAGCGGGTTCAAATCCCGGGTCTTGCACCTCTGATATTTCTATGTGCGAATCACTTCCAACATTAGGTACCACTTGTCTTACGATGAAGAAAAACATCGTGAGGAAACCTGCATGTCTGAAGAACCTAGCAAGTTTTGGAAAGACATGTACATTATAACGCAAACTTCGTCTAATGTGTAATTCAGAATCACAGTTAAGACTTATATCACTTACCGCTATTCGAAACATTGTAAAGGGAACATCAAAAGGTTCTGTGACGTAAAATTGTAGCTCGTCATTTTGTAGCTTCAAAGTCTCTGTTCTTAAAACATCTTCATTTTCATCAACTAAGTCAACGGTATCTAGCAAAACGTCTCTTGCACTATTAAACAGTTCAATTGATAGAAAATGTTTATCTGAAATAAATTTTTTAAAATGTTATTATATTATTTTTTATCAAAAAATCTATTGCGTCTATTATAATAATAATAGATCTTTTTTTTTCTCAAGTAAGCATAACTGATAAAGTATCTACGTACACAATCTTACACAAAGCTACTACGTCATATTACTACTATTTTATTTAAACTTTTAAACTAATATCAATGAGTCAAGAAAAGGAACAGAGACAAAGATTCTAAGGAGCGGATAAAATGTTTACCTATTCTGGTAGGGTTGGCACAGTAGCATAAAATAAATAAACAAAACGTTTATCAGCTTTTTATTAAACAACTATGATATAATTTCTTTTTACAAATTACTTCCTCTAAATTTTTTTAATTTTATTTTTAAATAATTTGTTTATTTAATTGAACGGTAAATTCTAAATTCAACTATTTTTTTTAAATAATCTAATGGAAAGCAGTCGCATGGCATATCAAATTTACATTCTTGCACACGCATTAAAACACTTTCAAACCGTAAAACAATAAACACGAAGCACAACTTCAAGCAGCGACGACTGAATCCTGAGTTTGAGCACACACCGAGCCCGTATAAACATAAACCGACTTTGAACCATGCACGGCGAAGCCTAGTCAAAGTCTAGTATAGTATTATATTATGATCTGTGATGAAGCTTTGGATGTTCCTTTTCTATAGTCATATGCTAATACTATTGTTATATATTTTAAATCATAGTACCTGTTATTTTACCCGATGGTTTGATGGAAGTTTCTTTTAAAGAGGTTGGTAGTACGGTAGAAAATCCATGTTGGAAGCATATAGTAGTTGACGCGCTTACCGTAACTAAAGTTTTAACCTTAGTATTTAACTTAATAAAGTATACTCCATTTATTTCATTTTTTAATTGAAAAATCTTAAAAACAATAAAAACATACTTAATATTAGTTGTTGACTATCATGTAGGTATTTAGAATTCTTCTGACATTTAACTGTTTTATCAAAGACAATATACTTAAATATTAGTAATTATAACATACGATAATTACATATTACCAATAACCATGATATGGCCAATAAGACTTTTTTATACCAACTTTGTTTTTTTCTGTAGATAAGAATTGTACTAATTCAACTTCTTTGCCATCGGAGTTAAAAACGGTGATGTCTGGATCAATGGATGAGACACAAATAAATACATCCGAAATTTTACTATCTATTGTGAACTGAAAAAATATATTTTACGTAGTAAATCGTAGAAGAAAGCGTAAAGACATACATGAAAATTAAATTAGTAAAAGATGCTACTATTGATTTACAAAGACAAATTAGCCTCTTATCTTTTGAACTACTTACTTGAACTTTTTGGTCAAATTTGTCCACAAATTTTTTTCGCTTTAGTACAGTAATTTTAGATTTTAAAGAATTCGCGACAAAGTCTATAACCTGAAAAATAAATGAATATGTAATAATCTATACATATAATAAAATTCTAACTAAGTCAAATCTGTACATTAAATCCCATCAAAAACATACTGTAAAAATATTGCAAGTCTCGCAACGCATCTCTCTACCGCAAAAAGCTATGAGATATAATGTAAAACCAAGTCGGTTACTTTATTCATTACCTATCTATGGAAGCATCTATCCGACAACTTTGTCATAAATCGTTACCGAATTAGTTAAGTTACAACATTTTATAGTGACCGTATTAATATTAGATATATTTATTTCTTTAATTAATAGAGTGACTTGGCCATCGCACGGAAACATAATCACATAAGAGTCTACTACTTTAAATAGTCCTAATTAAAAATGCCATGACCAAGGTGGACGGACGACTTGGTCAAAGTCGCTGGAGCCCACTAGATGCGGATGGCACAAGACTGGTCGTCGTGGAAATTTATGGGGGAGGCCTATGCCCAGCTGTGGACGTGTTTGGGCTGAAATGAACGGAACATAGTACTAGCGGGTCAAATTGATGCATACACTAACAATACATAAATAATGCACTCAGAACGTTAATATTAGGTAAATTTTGTTATTTGTAGGTTCTGTTATCATGTGCGATAGCCAAGTCATTCTATTAATTAAAGAAATAAATATATCTAATATTAATACGGTCACTATAAAATGTTGTAACTTAACTAATTCGGTAACGATTTATGACAAAGTTGTCGGATAGATGCTTCCATAGATAGGTAATGAATAAAGTAACCGACTTGGTTTTACATTATATCTCATAGCTTTTTGCGGTAGAGAGATGCGTTGCGAGACTTGCAATATTTTTACAGTATGTTTTTGATGGGATCTCATTTCTTTTTGTAAATATTTCTTCTTTTTCCCTTTTCTTGTACTATTTCTTGTGTGTCAGCTAAGGACTTCTTAAAAGCCCACTCCCTGTCTCTGTGGGCTTTTTTCAGAGGCTTTGATATAACAAATTTTGACAAGTCTGGATGATAAAAAATCTAAGTCTATTGTATTCGGAAATTGCGGATTCCTGGGCTTCATTACTACTATCTTATGCATTAAGTATAAATATGTATAGTTAATTTAATGAATATTTTAATTTCATTGTTGACCCTAAATACCTACCCCGATACTGATATTGAACTTACGTAAGTTTAATAAAACGTGTAGATTTATGTGTCTATCTGCGGCATCGTAGGTAAATCCCGAAGGTTGTTATACTTAATTATTATTGCTTGTTCAGTCAATTTTGATGCAGTTTAATAGAAAAGTAAGGTTGCCAATTCACTTCATTCACTGATTCCATTGGCCATTTTAAAAGTAATTTTCGAAGAGATTGATATTTCATGACCTCTATATTCCATGTTCTATTAGATGTGTACAGTTACGAGCAATGAAATGTTAACAAGTTTTCTAATTCAAATCAACATCATACTTTATAAAAGAAAATATACGAGCTTTGTTTCAAAATATGTTGGGACAGTAACACACAGAACCATCTAGTTCCATGGTAAGCTACGAGGCTTGTGTTATGGATACTAGATAGTTGATACACTACACATATATAACTTTAAATACATACATATTATAAATATAAACACCCATGACTGGAGTACAAACTTTAGTCATCACACAAATGAATGCCCCCAGCGGGACTCGAACCCGCGACCGCCGGCACAGAAAGTAGGACCGGGCCACTACAAACTGAGCCAAACGTGTCGTCAAAAATTAAGTAATCGTCAAGTTTTGTCGTAATTAGGTATATATTTTAATAAATTCATTATAAATAACAGGTAATCGAATATTAGTTGGTAATACACTATACACGCTTCACGTTGTATTTATGTACCCATTTGTATATGCATAAAAATGTATACAGCTACTGAAAACGCTTGAAATAATATTTTCACATTTGAATAATATTTTTCTAATGTATACAATAGTTGCAATATCAACATTAATAAATAAATAGACGAATCGTGATTAGGTTAGTAATTACGAGGGAACATAGGATCGAACATACAAACATACATACAGGTTAAACACTAACCTAACCTCCTTTTACATTGCAAGTGACGACAATTATATGTATAAACTGCACAAGTAACTTTGTAATCCCATATATCGCATATCTATTTGTATGAGATTACAAAGTTACTGATGCAGTTTGTTGTATATCTCGAAAACAGGATTGAAATTGCGTGGTGTTTGAATTTTTCCTTGGGTTATAGAGTAAACACGAATTGTGTTCAAAATTTGAAGCTTCTATGTCTGCTAGAAGTACCTTAGAATTTTGATGATCGGTGAGTGAGTGAGTGACGATATTAACGAATTTTGATCTGCAACAGTTCATAAACTACTGGTTCAAATTGAATGTAATTTGGAAATGTACCTAGTTTTATTATGTTCTCTTAGTCACTCAAAATTCAAGCTTCTAGCTTTATCCATAACGAAGTTATGGGGGGGTGGAAAATGCTCTGAATCCCTTCGAGAAAAGGATGGTACTGCCGTGCCCTTTTTTGCTCGACTTGTTTGCTCGACTTGGCGGGGGCACTGCCGTGCCCCCCGATATTTTTTGGGAAATCTAATTGAAATAGACATTATTATCGATACAGAGTCCGAATCTATAGTTTTTAGAATTTTTGTCTTTCTGTCTGTCTTTCTGTCTGTTTGTCTGTTACCGCGTCACGAGAAAACCACTGGACAGATTTTGATGAAATTGGTACGATGATAGCTGGTTATCCGGGTCAACATATAGGCTACTTTTTACCGCGGGAAAATATCTCAATTCTGAGAAAAAATACAAAAACACAAAAACTGCATTGTAAGGGTATACTAATATGTAAAACCTAAGAATTAGGTTTTTGGTCATCTGAACGCGGGCGGAGCCGCAGGCAATGCTAGTATTAATATAAAATACAAAAACACTTTCAGTTCATATTTTCAAATAATAATGTCCCTTAAAAATACTCTCATATTCTCTCTCTCATCTCATAAAAGCCAACTAAAAACATGAAAACAAGTTGACGAAAGAATCAATAGTATTATGCAGTCGGAGACACACGTTTCATCCTTTCCGCGAAATGTAGATACACCTCTGTGTACATATTATGTACATATATGTTTCGAGTATAAGTTTAAACTTACCCAGCTATGATGAATGGATTTGGCTGATTTTGGATTTTTTTAATTTCCTATACAAAAACTAAAAAGTTTACCATTTGAGACTTTCTGCTAATATATTTTTTAAGGGTTGTCCCATGAAAATTAAGCAAGGTATTTCTAGTATAGTACATTAATTTTACAACTATATTTATTTTTTCTTTCGAGAATAACTCACATTCCATATAAAGTATAGTGAATTTCCCTCGTTTCGCTTGGATGAGTCTCTGGGTACGTTATAGATATGAATAGTTATTGCGAGTGTACCTTAGGAGAAAGACTTATGCCATTGCACATTTTTCTGCAGGCCTTACTAAGACCTATAATCTTCTAGTACATAGTTTTGATGTATCTTTTTAGGTTAAGCCAGCGTTAGACATGTAAATTTCTAAGAACGACTCGATAGAACCAGTTATTCTGTTTTTCAGTGGGGATGAAAGATTTTTCTGTAGTAAAAGGTATCCTAATTTTTTAAATCATTTTCAATGGGTAAAAGTTTTAGTTAATGGTATCAAAGACCCAAAAAAAAATTTATTCAAATCCATTCATTATAATTTTTTAACATACATTTTTTTGCATATTGAAGTAATCTATACTAATATTATAAAGAGGCAGAGTGTGTTTGTTCGTTCGTTCTTTCGTTGCTTCTTTCACTCGCTAGCTAGTTTATAATAAAATAATATAATGTCGTGTTTTATATACATTTAGTGTTCTTTTTAATTTTTTTGTCCGTTATTTTTTCAAATTCTCAAATTTTCACTTAAAAATGAATCGAAATCAGAGAATCAGCCATAAATTGATTTACGAAGTAAAAATAACATTTTATAAAAATATACAGTAAAGTTAAAAAATATTGCAATATTCAAGTGATAGAATTGTTTATACCTTGGCAACGTCATCTTTTTCAATATTAAAGACATGTCCCGATGTCGCCTCTGCTAGCTTATCGTAAACAACAAAATATTTTTCCGAAGATCCATATCGAAATCTACAGCGTCCGGTCAAAAGAAAATTCACCTGTAATTTAATATTTCAAAATCATTATTATTTATCAAATTAATTAATATAAACATCTCAAATCGTAATACTTTCTTAGATTTACGCGAATATTTGACATTTTAAATAAAACTATCTTTTCGGATTTTGTCGCGGATTTATTTGGATTTTTGTTTCCCGACGTTTCGAATGCTTTACAGCATCCATGGTCACGGGAGAGACTGAGGTGTTACATATTGTCTTGAATGTATAGTTGTTACAGACAGCCTACCCACAATTAACAAAATGAAAATTGCACCAATTACATTACAATATTTTTTAACTTTAAACATTTTTATAATTTTAATTATAATTGAATATGGAAAATTATTTATTTAATTTTGCTATTATTTTTATAATTATTACAATTTTAAAATATTAATTAGTAATCTATATTTAGTGTTGCCATTATTATATTTATATAAATATATTTAAATATATTTATTTATATAAATATTATATAAATATATTTAAATAAATATAATAATGGCAACACTAAATATAGATTACTAATTAATATTTTAAAATTGTAATAATTATAAAAATAATAGCAAAATTAAATAAATAATTTTCCATATTCAATTATAATTAAAATTATAAAAATGTTTAAAGTTAAAAAATATTGTAATGTAATTGGTGCAATTTTCATTTTGTTAATTGTGGGTAGGCTGTCTGTAATAACTATACATTCAAGACATGTAACACCTCAGTCTCTCCCGTGACCATGGATGCTGTAAAGCATTCGAAACGTCGGGAAACAAAAATCCAAATAAATCCGCGACAAAATCCGAAAAGATAGTTTTATTTAAAATCTCAAATCGTGTTCAAAGTCTTAGCAGTTACGTTTGTACAACTTTTTAAGAAGATATGAGTAATGCAATTTGATGGTATCGTAATAAGCACTTTTAATTTGGTTTTAATAAAGGTATCTTGTCTTCCAAAATGTTTAGTAGTTTAATAGAAAAAATTCAGCCACCTGAGTTGACTTTTTCTGGCTGAGACTTTTAACAACTTCCATTTTTGTATAATCATTAGCAGAGGCATCAGTAAATACATATATAAATGAGTTAGGATAAGTGATCTCCAGTGCTTGTTGAATGCCTGACATAGAAGCTTCAGGACAATAACCTCCCGTTACCAGCTCAATTTTGTTTAGAGCATTTTTGAATTCTTCTGCATTTCGGGTGACAGTACATACTTGCACTTCTGGAAAAATTATACAATATGCTTTGAACTACAGACTACTTATATTTAGTCGTTTTAAGTAAGTTTTGGAATACTTATAGATTTGGTCGTGCTCTCTTTTTTTTTTTTTTTTTTTATTTTTATTTATTTATTTATTTCAGGCAATATTTACATAGGGATCTTAAATATGTAAACAGCGGCCCATAGCATATATACCTTAAAACTAACATATATATTAATTATAAAAAACTTAAAAACTATTTAACACGTAGTGCAGACGTGTAAGCTGTGTCGGCGGGCATACGACCTCGGAACTTCCGAAACACGACGCCCTGCGGCCAGAAGTCCTCCTTCATGAAGGTTGGCAGATGATGAGTCGGCACTCTCACCACAAACGAATTGAAACTCGTTTTGTGGCGAGGTACCAGTCGTTCAACCCTCAATTTGAAGTTGGACCTCTTCAGGACGTAGTCTACGACATCCTCGACCTTCGTAGACCAGTGCACTCGGGACACATACAGCGGCGTCGATGGTACGGCAGGACGCATCGGATGGTCTGGCTGGTTCGGAGCTGTGCCACAGATGTTACGGCATTAGGGCTTCTTTTTCTTCCTCTCCACTTTAGTGAAGCCCTCCTCGTCAGGTTGGATCTTCGTGGAACCCATCGAAGGCACCTGTTTGGCAGCTGGTTTGCTCCGGCTCTTCTTTTTCCCTCCATTCGAGGGCCGCTTCTTTGGCGGGGCGGGTGTAGGGGCGGGGGCAGGCGCGGCTGCGGCTGCAGCTGCGGCGTATGCACGCGGCGGGGTCATGACCGCGCTCGCACTCGACGTCATCAGCGGGGCCGGGGATCGGGTGGCGGGCGTCACTGTGTCGCGCGATTCACGCACCTCAGCAGTAATCGGAGGCGACGACAGACTGCTGATGGAGTCAATTTGTGCGCCGCGACGTGTGTTTATGTTAGTGACCTCCGGTGACCTACTTACAGAACCATTATTTTTGAACGATAATAATTCTGCACGCAGCTCACTGATGGTAGATTCGGAAATCTCTAACTTAAACTGCACCTCTGCCAGGCCAGCTTTCAGGATGGTGATATCCTTGAGCAGCCTGGTAACGTCAACGTGGTCGAACGTGACGGGAGGCAGCTTGTTCAGCTGCTTCGCCACGAAGGCGGGCACGTCGTCAGGATCGGTTATCTTCAGGAGATTAATGATGTCCTGAAGACTTCTCTCCCCCTTTTCATCCCTTCTACGGGTGGGCATTCGGTCGGCCTGGCCGAGAGTCTCATAGAGCAGCACTTTGCTCCTGCAAATCTCCTTTTCTTTAAAACTCGACTTGCAGATCCGCATGATGCTGACCTCGTCCATAGTGTCGATGGCGTGCTGTATAAACGCCAACAGCTCATTAGCTATGAGTTTTTCGGAACTCATAGCGGCGGTATCCGGCAGCGGCTAAGCCGCGCAGTACGCGAATCAAAATTCGGGTCAGAGTGTGCAAGCAATGCGCGTCCGTTACCTAGCGCGCATTACTGACGACTGATATATGTTTTTAAAAAAATTCACGTTGTTGGCTTAGTATTTATATTTTTTGCTTTTCGTGATGCACAAGTAATTAATAGTTTTTTTACTAGTTTTTTATCAATTTATTTTAAATAAAGCCTATAACATGAAGCGTTATCCGTGTCCGCCAACCCGCACTTTTCAAAAGAGCTGAATACTATGAACTTTTATTATTATAGTTAAAATATTATACATCGATTTGTGATGTATTTACTATATTTATTCTAAATCAAAGTAAATCTATATTGAAATAGATTTGCTTTGCTTAAAAATACCTCCAATAAAGGAAAAAAATCTTAAATTTTAAGCTATTGCATAGCTTCTATCGCGGGCCTTGAGCGTGGGGACCGAATCCAGAAATTCCGGAACGAAAAAAACCTGACATCCCCCACTCCAACCGGCACAGCGGTGATACTTCCATCTATCGATAAATACCAGAACTTTTAATGACTTTTTGAAATATCACGCTTGTCTCTTTAGTTCAGCAACCCGCCTTTAGGTGGCATTGGTTGTATTGGAAAACTACCGTAATCAGCTGTTTGTGAGAAAATATATAGGTGTATTTATCATCTATGTACAACAGTGAATATCTGTACTCGTATAATTTGTGTACAAAGTGTTTTAAATATGAATAAATAAAGTGTATTTATTAATGAAGAAAGTCAAGGAAAAAAAATACTGCATTAATAAAATAAATAAGTAATTATAATTGCATAAGTTGATAAAAAATGCTATGCAATAGCTTTACCGCGGCAGTCTCCGAGTGCCACACGTCTTTTTATTTAGTTTAACAATTGTTACACTTGCAATGTTCATGTTGAAGCAGAAAAAAATATTGATTAAATATTGCATAACTAATTAATAAATAGTAATAAAAAAATCCGGCGGATTATTGTTCGTTTATCTATCCAGTATGCCCCAGAATTTTTTCATTTGTTAAATTTTATATTTAATATGTTAAAATATTTTTTATTGATAAAGTGTCCGAAGTAGGCGTGGCTTGCGCAAGCCAGAGCACCCGTTTTAAGTCGTATTTTAGTTCCTCTGAGAAAATTATAAATATTGGTTCTACAGTTCTGGGAATTGACATTTTTTTAGGGGATTTCCTCCTCTTTTTGAATCTCTTTTTAGGTTTTAAAAATCTCAATTAATTTTAGAGATATTTGCAAAAACTAAACCCCCTAATAATACTTTCTTAGATTTACGCGAATGTTTGACATTATTAAATAAAACTATCTTTTCGGATTATTTCGCGGATTTATTTTGATTTTTGGTTCCCGACGTTTCGAATGCTTTACAGCATCCATGGTCACGGGAGAGACTGAGGTGTTACATGTCTTAAAGATATAGTTGTTACAGACAGCCTACCCACAATTAACAAAATGAAAATTGCACCAATTACATTACAATATTTTTAACTCTAAACATTTTTTATAATTTTAATTATAATTGAATATGGAAAATTATTTATTTAATTTTTGCTATTATTTTATAATTATTACAATTTTAAAAATATTAATTAGTAATCTATATTTAGTGTTGCCATTATTATATTTATAACCATAAATAAAAATATAAAAATATAGTATTAATTATTAAAGCCATATAATTGTTCTATGTGTAATTTAAAAAGTTAAAATTAATTACGGATAATCATTTTAATTTAGTTTGCTATTATTTAAAAACAACTTACTAAGCAACACTATTAATGTATACTTTTACAAATGAAAAATATTAATCTGATAAGCTGTCATTTTGATCTACACAGTATGAACTTACTACATCTGCCTGTCTGTTATGTTTATATTTATTATTTGATTTTATTATATTAACAACAGGATCCCACGACGATGGTAGTACCCAGCCATCTTCCCTATTGAAATTTGGATGTTTTTTAATTTCTATGGCTTCTCGAATCATTCTAGGGCGATATCGGTTTTCTTTCGCCAGGATTTGAGGTCTATCGAAACGAATATAATGGCTTGGGCGGTCCTGGCTATGTTTGCACATATATGCAAACATCCGATATCGCCCTAGAATGATTCGAGAAGCCATAGAAATTAAAAAACATCCAAATTTCAATAGGGAAGATGGCTGGGTACTACCATCGTCATGGGATCCTGTTGTTAATATAATAAAATCAAATAATAAATATAAACATAACAGACAGGCAGATGTAGTAAGTTCATACTGTGTAGATCAAAATGACAGCTTATCAGATTAATATTTTTCATTTGTAAAAGTATACATTAATAGTGTTGCTTAGTAAGTTGTTTTTAAATAATAGCAAACTAAATTAAAATGATTATCCGTAATTAATTTTAACTTTTTAAATTACACATAGAACAATTATATGGCTTTAATAATTAATACTATATTTTTATATTTTTATTTATGGTTATAAATATAATAATGGCAACACTAAATATAGATTACTAATTAATATTTTTAAAATTGTAATAATTATAAAATAATAGCAAAAATTAAATAAATAATTTTCCATATTCAATTATAATTAAAATTATAAAAAATGTTTAGAGTTAAAAATATTGTAATGTAATTGGTGCAATTTTCATTTTGTTAATTGTGGGTAGGCTGTCTGTAACAACTATATCTTTAAGACATGTAACACCTCAGTCTCTCCCGTGACCATGGATGCTGTAAAGCATTCGAAACGTCGGGAACCAAAAATCAAAATAAATCCGCGAAATAATCCGAAAAGATAGTTTTATTTAACTAAACCCCCTATTTATTTTTGTTTAATTGTTTATGAATTTTGCAATTTTTGCAAGCGGAACTTTATGTTTATCAAAAATCATCTACATGATATTCCAAATCGAATGACACCTCGTTCATATTTTTCCGAGACTGCTGAGAAACGTTGACCTAAAAGGCTTTTGTTGACTAGACTATAAATCCGTAAAAAAAGATAGTACATCTATGAACGTATTCAATTTATTATTTAAATCATCTTATCATAGTAAAAATATAAATAAGGTTCAATATATTTCGATTAGTTTTGTGATGAATGATGAATGAAATAGATACTAAAATAGCATTAAAACGTAGAAGTACCTACAGGTAAGACCGAAGTACAACTTTTTGTCTCTATTTAACTTGTCACGCATAAAATACACTTTTTATTAAAATGTCCGGTTGATAAATATTCGATAGTAATATATTTGAAACAAATATAAGAGATGTGCGTATTTTCAATGAATAGATCTAGTCTAAATGAAAATTTTATTTCGTAATGCCTATTCTAAGAATTCACCTCTAACCAAAGACCGGCATAAAACACCCATTTGTACTTTACCATATTTATTACACTTTCACATCATTTTTCACTTATTTAACACAATCACAATTTATTCAATCATATTATAAGAATTTACGTTATGACACTTAACTTTTTTTTAACACTCGACAAAATACACTGACTTTCTTTTTACAAAACATTTTTCCACTTCCACATATTTTAATTACAGGGTATATGTTTTGATTTATTTTAAGAATCATAATTCATACTAAATACAGTTTTTGGTGCTGCAATCTCCACAAGCTTGGCAGGAAATAAGTATTTTAGGTGATACTAAATAATAGTGATAACTACATTTATTCTATTCTCATACCAGTAACAATTCATAATATTGCTAATACCATCATCCGATTATCAGATTTAAATCCTATAAGTCATTTTTTTTATTAAAAATGATCTTAATAATAACTTGTTTCCCAATGCAAACTTTCATCCCCATTTTCACCCCCCTTAGGGATGATTTTCGGGATAAAAGTATCCCATGTCCTTCCCAGAGTCTTAAAGTATTTTCTTACCAAATTTCATCTAAATCGTTTCAGTAGGTCCAGAAAATAGCCCCTACAAAGAAAAAACTCGCAATACACAAAGTACGAGTACAGATAAATTCTTAATAATAAATTCTTTACAAGCTCTTGCATGTGCTATAATAGGTACGCGCTTTTTCGTGTCTCCTATCAACCAATAAGCATCCCATTAATATCATCTAAAGAAGACGATTTTTTCCACTCAATTCACATATGTTATCATATCGATAAAGTATTTTTGCAAAATATCTATATATTTTAACCTTCCTAGATAATCTCTCTTTATATCAGTTAAAGGTGTATGAAAATTTGTACAGTGGTTTCTGAGATTAGATTGAACAATCACCGACTCAATTTTAATTTATTATATGTAGTGATTTATGTTTAATTTAATGCAAATAGCCATAATATTAGCTTAAAATAAGAAATGTAATTTATTATACCGGTTATAATACTTAATAATTTAATTTAAAATAATTATATAACTACAGTTTTTAATAAATTTTGTGTAAATAAAAAATATACATTTTATTTTAATTTATAATATATTAGCGACTCATCCTCGCTACGCTCGGGTTCGTCCCTAGGTTGATCCCCTTATAAACTTTCATCCCTATTTTCACCCTCTTAAGGGATTTTTCCTGGATAAAAAGTATCCTATGTCTTTCCGAGGGACTCAAACTATCTTCTTACCAAATTTCATCTAAATCGGTTTTGTAGATCCAGAGATTACCCCCTACAACGTCACAAACTCACAAACTTAACCTCTTTATAATATTAGTATAGATTAGACTATATAAATATAATATAGACGTATAAGTTTTATAGCTTTCATAAATAATAACTAAGCACATTTAAAAAAAACGAAAAATACAACTAATAATAATTGAAATAAAATAGAACTCAGTACTTACTAGGATCATCAAAAGTGACTAAAACAAAATTATCTATATGATTTGTTTTTGAATTAATTACATTATTAAAAACTTTGTCCGTGGTGATCTTCACTTGATTTATTTCTTTTCCCATTGAACTAGTTCTATCTATAACAAAAGCTAAACTAGATTTTTCTTCGTGTCCGTTCACATAAAACAAAACAAATTCCATCACTAACAAAATTAATATTTTCTGCGGCATCGCGTACAACAGTCGATGAACTTATAACCTTTTATAATGTTTTTATCGTCCATACATAACTACAGTGTACCACGTATGAGAGCTGTATACAATTTGCCTGAAGTTACACTGATTTATTTTTAACTGGGGAAACCCTGCACTATTGACATGCTAATTATGTTTAATTTAAAATAAAAACACAGTTATAATTTGTGTTTCACTTTATAAGTATTGAAACGCAGTTAGACTTTTTCTACGAGTGATATTTATTACGTTTATTTTTAAGACGGCCAATATACATTAAAAACTTATTTTGATAAAAAATAACACACTCCCTTTATCAAAATAATCTAAATTTTAAAAATAAAATAAGCTAACCCAAAAATTCAATGAAGTATACATATAACACCTAAACGATTTAAAAACTTAACATGTTTAACTGAATTTAAACATTTTGTTAACATATCTGCTAGCATATTTGACGTTTCTTAATAAATAATTTTAATAATATTATTTGAAACAGCATCTCTGACAAAATGGTACCTTATATCTATATGCTTACTTCTTTTATGGAACATTGAATATTCAGTCAATTTTTTCGCACTCTAATTGTCATTATATAAAATAATAGGTAAATTTACATGACCAGGTAATTCAATCAATCATCAAAAAGATTAATCATAAATACCGTTTGATTCTCAACTTACTTCTGAAATTCCTTAAAAAGCTGTAATACCTGGGTATTTTCCTTATATGCAAAGGTCATTCGACTTGCGTCATCAATGAAAAGAAGAAAATATCTTGCTTGACCAATCGAGCAGGTTTCCATCGGCCTGCATAAATCCGAATGTATCAAATCTAGCAATTTATTACTTCTATGACCTTTCAAAGGAAAAGGTAGACGAGACTGTTTCCCCTCACAACATATTTCGCAGTTGGATTTTCGAACATCAGCCTTATCGTCATAAAATACATCCTGTACAGCACGTTTCCCCTCACAACATATTTCGCAGTTGGATTTTCGAACATCAGCCTTATCGGCATAGTTTAGCATCAGCCGTCTGAACTGCCCCAACTAATCCATTCTCTGACTTCACAATATTCAATTTATACACACCATTTATTAAATCCGCTACTCCAATCAGCTCGGTCTGTTGCTTAAAGATATGACTAACAATGATTCATCTCAAATGTTACCTCATTCCCTTTTGCTGTCAACTGGCTGACTGATGATTGTCGCTAAGCTAGGTATACAAAGAATATCTTTTACCTTGATGTCAAACTGAGAATTATTTATACTGTGGTTATCTATGTATGACCTACAACACCACATGACAAACTGAGAATTGCTTATACTGTGGTAATCTGTTTATCCCATACAACACCACATAACAAACTGAGAATTGTTTATACTGTGGTAATCTGTGTATGACCTACAACACCACATAAAACCGGCACAGACGTTTGATTCTGAAGTATTTCTTTCTTATGACATACAAACTTCTTCAACGCGCAATAATTTACTTTTGTTAGCAATCATATGGGCACTCACTCCCGAGTCCACATATACTAATCTTATCGATAACATTTAAATATTTTCTAGACAATTGTTTTTTGTTTTTGCGCTTCTTTATCATCTTCAGTACTCGATTGTCCCGACGGCTTGTCAAGATCAATGCCTTCTAGTACTAAAAATTTTTTGCACAGCCAAAGCCCAATCATCGTAATTTTCATCTCGGAAAATTAAAAAGTTCCCGTGGGATAGTTAAAAAACTATAGTAACTTATACAGCTTAGTACACAAAAAGTACTGATTGGATTTTAATGAAACTTTACAAAATATAGTTCATACATCACAATAGCAAATAGGCTACTTTGTATCCCGGAAAAATGTACGGTTCCCGTGGGATAAATTTGTTTTTGTTTATATAGAAGCGAATCCTAGCGAAGCGAGGATGAGCCGCTAGTGTATGTAATAAAATAAAAGATTGAATAAAAAAGTACAATTTGTAGGACAACGACTTTTTTATATTATTGTTTTTGAATACTTATGCCCGTCGATATATATTAGTATGGGAACGTAGAATAATATAAATAATTTTAATCAATTAAGATACAGGGTTTTATAATTGAACTAGAATAGGGTGATTTAATATTTTCTTATTTATACTTTAATAAACATAAAAATCATGTTATTTACATACAGAATCAATTAAAAACTAGTGACTCACCCTCGCTTAACTCGGGTTCGTCCCTAGGTATGTTTTCATTTTATTAAGGGAACCCTTATTCTTTTCTAAAATAAAAGTAGCCTATGTTACTCCCTATAACATTAGCTATCTTCCAGTCAAAGTCCCGTCAAAATCAGTCCAGCCGTTTCAGAGACTATCCGGAACAAAAAGACAGACAGACAAAAATAAAAAAATGTGTTTTTCTTATAAGTAGGTACCGTATACTTATACTTTCATATGCATTTAGAAAAACGCTGTTATTTTGATGAAATAATCTGTATAATCTGTATAATTTGATGAAATAATAATAATCATGAATAATCTGGGGAGGTTTTGTCAATTTCAAAGTTTAACTCATTTATTTGTTCACTTGCTGTACAATTCACTTATAGGGCGCGAAGCTAAGAAACGCACAGGGAGGTTGCCCACTTCAGTGGGCGGTGGGAGGTGGCCCTCTTCGAGGGGGTGGTGTACCTTGCGGGTTGCTCCTGGTACTTCTCTGATAGCAGAGTGGACCTTGGAGCAACCCCATGGTTGTGGTGGTCTGCTTTGGCAGACCTGCCGTCGGGGCGTCGTAGTTGAATGCGTAAGCGATCCTGCGACGCCCCATTAAGACGGGTGAAGGTTTTGTTGGGTTTTCGTGGGTAGTACTGGCTGTATTACGCCGGTGAGTCCCACACGTCGTGCGTAAATGCATTTCCCAACGTTAAAAAAACAAGGTTCATCCCCACTTACGTTTAAACGTTTAGTATAGATTTTTCAGAGATGAGATATTTTCCCGCAGTATAAAGTATCCTATATTTTGACTCGGATAACCAACTATCATCAGAGCAAATTTTATCAAAATCCTTCCAGTGGTTTTTCCGTGATGCGGTCACAGACAGACAGACAAAAAATCTAAAAACTATAGATTCGGGGTCTGTATTGATAATAAAGTCTATTTCAATAAGATTTTCCAAAAAATATTAAATTTATAGATTCGGCTTAGTTACTATTTTATTACTGGTACGTATAGATAAGTTCTTTAAAAAGTAAGGACAAGATTATTTGAATAAACAAAACAAATTTTATTTAAAATCTTATATTTATTAGGTACATTTAAGAGTGCATTTTAGTGCACGTTTAGTGTAGTTTAGTGCACACTCGTTTTGCTCGAGTGCATCCTTAGGGATTGAGGAACACATAGTAGACAATCATACAAAGAAACATTCATTTTTATTTATACAGATATAGAAATAAATAATGAAGAAATAGTAAAAAGTATATATACTTTACACATTATTATTTATTAATTTGAAAGTTTATAATTAAATGTGCGATTGACTACCTTGTAGAAATACTATATTTTCTTATATCTTTATTACAATAATTGTCATATGCTATATTACTCTAAAGGTTTCATGATTGGAAAGAGATTGTCATAATGAAATGCTGTCATAAATTCCTTAACATTGCAGCAAAACACGAAACCCTTTGAAGGATCATGCCATTGAGAGCCATACATCCACTTTGTTTTGTTGCAAATATCCCTTTTGCAAGGAATTTGCTTTAGAGCTTCTGTAACTTCTAGGTTTGGAGTATTCATTACAACAATTGCGAGTCCTTCTTCATTCCCTCGTTCTCGTGGGTTTTGTCTATATATCACTAACTAAAAAGAAAAATTTTGAGATTAGTATCTGCCTCCAAAAAGTTTTTTGTAGAAGGTTATATAAAACCCTTCTTTGGTGTTCTAATGGCTAGCATGTACGACTGCAGATCCTAGGTCCGGAGGCCCTAGGTTCGAGTCCCATGTTGGGCCTAGTTCAGTTATTGAGTTTTTCTGTTTATAAATTCTCGGTAGCCGATCGGAGTTATGAGTTAGCAGTATTTGACCCCCGTGCCTCAGAGAGCACGAACGGTCCTGCGCCTGAGTTGTCACCAATCATGTCAAATTATGAAGAGTGCGCATAAGTCTGCGAGGACAGTTATGCTCTATAATATCTACTACGAAAATGGCTAATCTTCAGGAGATTGGCCGCCGTAGCGAAATAGAACAATCAGTAGGACGTTATATAAAATATAACCTATATATACCTGTATAACCTATATATTTAATGATAGGAAATGTAGCTACATAAACATACGATCATATATTGATTTGTTCAAGGCATACGTTAGCGATTTTAAACAACTAGCGTCGCATAAAACTTTTTAACGATATTATGGAAATCGTTCTTATGCTGACTTACGTCGGTCTTTTTAGGAAACTTGACTTTCTACAAATGATATCGCTAAAAGAAATTTCAATATATAAAATACATATGGGCTAGTACATTATGCTTAGATAAGAGTTTATCTAGGCCTTCAATTATGAGGATTGAGGATATATTTAAGTACTGTTATGTTGATAATAGATAGTGATCTGGACTAAAATTTTATTCGCCAATAGAAACATTATAATTCAGCGAATGGCGACTAAATGTAAAAACATACTATATTTATATTTTTGTTTTAAATAAATAATTTCAATTTCATTTAAAACGGATGTCAGTGCGTAACATAGGTTACAGGAAAATATGTTTTTAAATTTAATTGTTAGTATGAAACTAATTGTGTTGATATGATAAATAAATAAATACCTTCCATATAAAACGTGGAACTCTTTGTATACGATCATATTTATCATTTATTGTAACAAATGTATCGATTTTTTGATTCGGGAGTTTTATTGATTCCGAAGTTCCTGTCCACACTTCCAATAAAGTGCTCCTCGACGCAGCAAGAAATCTTATACGTCGTTCTACTTCGTCCCAGTTCTAAAAAAAGTAATATAAAAAAGTAATTCTTAGTAAACCACCTATAACTTAATTTTTATAGGCCATGAGTGATAAACATATTTCTTAAATTTCTCATTCCATGAAAAAATACAAAAAGTAGTTTTAACTTAAGTTAGTAACTTACAGAAAAAGCGAGAAAATAATGATAATATTAATTTTGACATCCATACTAATATTATAAATGTTAAAGTGTGTTTGAATATTTGTTTGTTTTCCCTTCTTTCACGTCGAAACAGAGTAACCGATTGGCGTGTGTTTTTTTATGTAAAAATAGTTGGAGGGCTGGAGAGTCACATACGCTACTTTGTACTCCCGGAAAACACGTTATAATACAACCCAAAAAATATTTATGATCAAAATTACTTGAAACTTAGTATCAAGGCTCTTTAATACAATTTGATAAGTTCTATTTTGGAGAGATTAATTTAAAGAGTTCTATTTTGTAATTTTAGCGTGAACGAAGCCGCGGGTTCTGCTAGTACTCGAATATATTTGAAAAAAAAAACTAAGATTTATGCCAGTAATTTAATAATAATAATAATAATAACAACTTACCCTCGCTTCGCTAGGGTTTGTCCCTAGGTAAGTACGTTTTAACGGTTAGTACCTATGGAATACATAGGTATGATGAGTTGTTGTGGGTTGTGTTATAACCTGTTTTCCCGTGGTAATGAGATAATCTAACGCTATAAATAGCAGCCTGTATCACTGTCCAGCTCTTCGCCCTTTTTTTTAACGTTGGGAAATGCATTTACGCCCGAGGTGTGGCACTCACCGGCAAAGCCAGTACTACCCACTAAAACCGAACAAAACCTTCCCCCGTCTTAATGGGGCGTCGCAGGATCGCTTACGCATTCAACTACGACGCCCCGACGGCAAGTCTGCCGAAGCAGACCACAACACCCATGGGGTTGCTCCAAGGTCCACTTTACTGAAGAAGTACCAGGAGCAACCCACATGGTACACCGCTCACCGAAGAGGGCCACCTCCCACCGCCCACCGAAGTGGGCCACCTCCCTGTGCGTTTCTTGGCTTCGCGCCCAGATTGCCGGGCACTAAAGAGCCTCCCCACCACGACAAGGTGAACGCACGTTGGAGGGCCAGCTCTTCACCCTAAAAAATCACCCCAATCCGTCACTCTGCTTTGAAGTGAAATAAGGATATAATAGAAGTATTATTATTAGTTACAAAACCTCTAATAGGTGTCGATCGTCACGAGTTTCTGAGTTACGTAATTTAAATTCTAATAAAAAAATTTAATGCACATGACATGACCTTCATATGATTTCAATTTAGCCTAAGTTTTCTACTCTGTGTAAATAAATTGACTGTTCAAAGTTCTATTTTTAAATAGCAAACACTTTTGTGGCAGAAAAAAAAACAAGAAATTGTGTTTTAAATTTATTTTAGAGTGTTGTATGTTCTTATGAAAATATTTCAGGATTATCTACAGAACTTGGCACTCATTTAGATCTCAATTCTTTTGTCTGTGAAGTTGATAACTACGCATATTCTTAATATTGAACTTGGCTCCCACTTTCACATTTATGTTTTTGATGGTATACTTTGCACACAAATCGTAACAGTTTTCATGAAATGAAAAAGTGGAGGGGTAAAGTTAATATGGAAAAAAATATGATGAGAAATCAGAATTACTTGAAACTCAGTAAACACGTTTTTTAAATTAAATTTAGCTCCTAATGAGCCAGAATGGGTGGTAAAGTTAGATCTGCTCACCAGAAAAATCCACCAATTTAAAGCCAAGTTGAATAAAGCAGTACAAATAAGTACAGTAAAAATATAGCAGTAGTCGAAATTCATCCCCTGAGAAAGTAAAAATATTATCAGAGTCGAGTTGAGTTAAACATCAGAATTAATGTGTTTGACTCTTAATTAACAAAATATTCAAATACTTAAATAGGCTTTTTATGGCTATAATACGCTATAAAGAGGTTTACGTTGCATTTAAGCTCATTCTAAATATCACCCGACTTGAAACCCACAAAATATGTATATCTAAACAGAACAAAGATATCTAAACACGGCTCAATTTCTCCTAAAATGAAAACTTTCTGTGGACGATACTATTAAAGCATACAAAGGCGGAATTAAAGCACTTAGTAGATAAAACGCGGCGGCGAAGCGGGTTCATATCCCGGATCTCGCACCTCTGATGTTTTCTTGTGTGAGTCATTTTCAACATGATTACCACTTTACCTTACGGTGAAGAAAACCTGCATGCATGTTTGAGGGAACCTAGCCAGTTTTCGTAAGATATTCGAATTCCGTCTACCCGCACTTGCCCTATTGCAGCATCATAAAATTTATCAACCGTGAAAAAAACTTCATGAGTGCATGCAGTAAGTTTGCATGTGTCGAAATTTGAATCGAGTTACAAGCGACATACGTGACAGTGGTAGTGGTAACGAACGTACAAAAAGAACTAGAAAAAGGGTAAGTAAGGTTAAGTGAAAATAATAAGAAATATCCCGTTTTACATAATAAAAATACTAAATCAGTGACCAAGAAAGCTTAAACACTCATAATATTATCTATTTTCTAATTTGTATATATATGCATGCATTACGGCCACTCACCTCCGTTCCACAAGTGCTCCATTGAGGAATAACATTCACGTAAGTATAAGTTGCTATTTGAGCTATTCCTGGCAACATGTCCTTTGGACTCACAAGCTGCTTTCTGGTAAAACAGCACTTATTACCTTCACTTAAATTTACGCCAGTTTTAGCATAAATAGATTTCAGTTGGTTACTACAATCGTATAGATCCTCAAATTTAAATGGCATATATGAAGATTCAACGTAGTGTACTAATTCTGTTGGTGTACTATTTGCCATGTTTTCATTCAAAGCATATTTTATAAAACATGGATAATTTTTGATTTTATCAATACAAACATCATATACACTTAGGAAAGATGATTTCACTTGAAATCCAACTTGTACTAGTTCAGAATTACCCTTAATACAGGGTTCATTGGTACCTTTTATTGCTATATTGATAGGACCGTCACATTTCAGGTTTGATATGTCGATGTTTCCAAAATCTGTTTTAAATATGCTATTCCCAATGCATTTCGCCCATAGTGGAGAAATGAATTTTCTTTTACCATCGGATATATATTCATTTACACAATCTATTTTAATTTCAGTATTTATTGTTTTTTTATCAGTCAATATCCATGTAGAATTAGGTTCCAGAAAGAGTGGCATATTTCTATTAAATGTTATATTCATTGGACATACTGTGAAAAAGTTAAATTAAAAATTAATATTTATTTTTTTATTTTAATCATTATTTGCTAGAATTAAAGAACATAGTAAATTTTATTCTTATACTAGTTTAGCCTACAAAATTTTCTCTTAATCTTACATACATGTACAATCTCGTAATATAGATAGAGTCCATAAAAAAGAGAACTCACTCTCTCTATTTGGACCTCGGAACGGGCTGATAATAGTTAAAATTTACTGTATTTTAATCAAAATTAAACAAAAAGGTTTTCCGAATATAATTATTTATAATTAGCATGTTTGTATGTTCGTGATTTTTTTAACAAAACATCGATAAAGTCATGAAGTATATAAACAAGGAAGATTTTAGTTTATAAGACAATTTTAGGATTAAAAATAATAATAATTAATAATAAAAAATAAAATAAAAATCATAATAATTAATAATTAAAAAAATAATAATAATAGGAGATTAAGCGAAATGTAATAAGTGAAAAGAATAAAAAAACACTTAAAATATTGACATTTACTTTACAGCTAAGTTTTTGTCAAACAAATGCGACGTTACCCCCCCAATAAGTTGTAATATCTACTGGGGTAGATTGTCACTTTCAAGAAAATAGGAATTAAGATGTAAGTGGTCTTTTATTTCTCCTTCTTCGTCAACAATATTTATTTTTAAGTTAGAAACTATTTATATTAGTTTGTGAAGCTATATATACTTACAATGAATTTAGACTCTTAATAGCAGTTAATAAAATTACGCACATCTTATGGAATTAATAATATACAAAAAGGTGTATACTTATTACAAGGTATCTTGTAACATTAATCAGCCTTTGAATCAGTTTCTTTCCATATCTGAGTTATAGTTACATAATACAAACAAAGAGCTTCTCCTAAACAATGTACTCTAAAACGTATTCGCTTTTCTTTGAATTTCTATAATTTTTACTGCAAATTAGATAATACCAATACCATACCTCAGATTCGAATTATGAATTGGACTTCAAAAACTTTTTACTTCTTTCTACGTCATCTTTATTTTCTGCTGAATACCCTTGCCTTTCCCTTTGTTTTATTTTGATTATCTTTTTTTTTCTTATTTCTTATTTCATTATTTTGCACGTCACTTTTAAAACTTAAGTACTTTTTAGTTGTATCACCAAAATAACCAGTTGATTTAGTTTTATGATAATGATTTAGTTAGTTGAGTTTTATTTTGAATCAAACTTGTTCGCGACGACTACCAAAAACTCTTCGACAGTCGCACTTACGACGACTAGATATTAAAAATATTTTTATTACGTTCGCCGTGATAATATATTATGTACCTATATGTTATAGCTTATAAATTGCTATGTTTTCGAATTGGTTTGTTTTTATTTTATCACTGCGTCTTTTCTGAAATTATCAATTTTGGAGTTTGTTGTGTCCATATAAACTTTAAATCATCATCGTTTTACAAACTACATCTATACTATAATAAAACTGTAGAGGTCGAATGTCTGTACATAGAAAAAAAATTGCTAAAAACCGAGTCAGGGGGATGTAAGAAGACAAATAGAACAAATCTAGATTTTTTTCAAATTTTTGTTTCTCTGTCTGTTTGTTTGTTTGTACGGGCTAGTCTCTGAATCTATTGGACCGATTTGAATGAAATTTTGCATGGTGATACTTTATATACCCGGGCAACATCTTAGATACTTTTCACTCCGGAAAGTTAAAGAGTTCCCGTGGGATAGTTAAAAAACTATAGTAAATTATACAGCTTAGTACACAACAACTTATGCACCTAATTGAGTAAAATTTGGTATGCCTTATATTGCCGGTCAAACAACAGGTTACTTTTTATCCCGGAAAAATAAACGGTTCCCATGGGATAGATCTGTTTGTGCTTTTCTAGAGGCGAACCCGAGCGAAGCTAGGGTGAGCCGCTAGTATAATATAATTTAACAAAGTTTCAGCCAAATTAACTCAACAGTATTTTATATATAGCATTATTGAAATTATACTTCTTTTGCTATGCGATGCGATAGATCTGGACTACAGTGTGAAGTTAGTCGTTATTGGCTACAATGTGAAGTTTTTTTTATTTTTTATTTTATTTCTATATACACAACACGTGCTATATATCGATAAATATAAAAATTATTACAAGCTTTTATTTAGTTTCACCTTTTTCAGTGTCCGTAATCAAATCTTACAAGTTAAATTTGACCCGCTTTCAATTGTCCGATTGAGCTGAAATTTGTAACACACGTTTGACTCTCGTGTCTGCATGATTTCCAAAATGCCGCCATGTTTAATCCAATATGACGGACGGACGTTACAAAATGGCGATTTATAATTTTCATAGTGACCCACCCATATGATATGGGTATCAAATGCAAGGGCTTTAAAATTTAATATGGCGGACTGTTTATTTTGCACCCCCAAGATATTAGACCAGGGTCGATAATTTTAAACCAAAAAAAAGAAAGAATGAAACCCATTGGAAAAGGAAGAGAATACAACAAAAATGAAAGGAAAAATAATTTACGGGCGATCTGAGGTCGGGAAGTTGGAGGGGGTAAGCCGGTTTATCTCGATTTCCGGCAAAACTACAAGTCCTATGGAAAAAAGTTAAATGGAAAAGTTGTAGGTAATAAAAAGATCTACAACGATGTATTTACACTTTTTTCACATAAGAGATAAACCGTTTTTACCCTTAAAAACTCACCTCTTCCCACTTCCCGACGTCAGATCGCCCGTAAATTATTTTTCCTATCATTTTCGTTATATTCTCTTCCTTTTCCAATGGGATTCATCCTACTATTATTATTTTTTCACTTTTTACCATTTTCAAAGGCTTCAGCCCTGGTCTATATGGATATTAAGTGAAAGAGTTTGCTGAGAAGAATACGAAAAAGAAGTAAAAAACATTAAAAAAAAGTTAAAACATTTCAAAAAACAAGCTTTTACCTAAATGCTCTAAAAAAACAAAGAAGTATATAATCTTCTTGCGTGCGTAAATAAGTATATACAACTTTTTTTCCAATGTTTCTTGAGTTTTTTTATTAAATTGACATAACCTTTTTATTTATGAACCGATTTAAATAAAATAAAAACTAAATGTTAAGTGAAGCTTACCATAAAATACATTAGTGAAAACTGCATACAAATCGGTTAGCCCGTTTCTGAGATTAGCACGCACAAATGCACAGACAAACAGACAAAAATTCTAAAAATCATTGTTTTGGGTTCTATCGCGTTAATAAAAACCCCCAATAATAGTTTTTCTCAAATATCTCCCATGTACAGACAGCGATCAGTTACATTTTGTGTGTCACCTACTTTTAGCCCTTTCAAAACAATAACATGTCAAATACGAGCTCGCAGGCTAGTACACAAACGCTAGACTAGATTCGATAAACTTCGTAAGTCGTTGGCGCGCAGCGAGTGGCTGGCAAGCGTGGAACTCACCGATTGTATGAATACAAGTTAACACATAATATATTATAAAGTAATTCGTAACACTCGTAACCTGACTGAAACATAACTTTATCGACAACAGTAGGTACGTAGACATACACGATCCGGGGGGGTAGGGCAGCTGCCCCCCCCCCTGCCCCTACCTGGGTACGCCCATGCTAACACGTTAAAATCGGATTTTAGACACAATTTTTAGTGTTATTAATGAAAGTGAATTTTAGTATGTAAGTCTTCGTATAAAAATTGGCATCGAAGTAACTTAAACCGTTTAAACAAATATTTTATTAAAATACTTTCTTCTTACTTTGCTACTATTATGTCTACTCTAAAAAGGGAACGTCATAATACCGACTTCAAAAAAAGCACTAAAAAGTAAAAAATAACTAATTGGCAGTTTTCATTTACTATACATACCTAATTAAATATTTTCGGAGCCGGTTAAAAATATATTTAAAAAAAAATTGATATTTACAAAATTTAGTCATAGTTTTGTTAAAAAATAAAAAAAAATGTAAAAAATGATTTTTTTTAAACTATGATAGATCCTTTTAAAAAATATGACTTAAATTTTAAAAATAACCCTTTAATCTACTGTGCATCCATTAAATGCTAAGATATTGATGATAAAAAGATAAGGAAGGAGAAGAGAGGATTTTTATTGAAAGTCGAATATCTCAGAAAAAATCGACCTAAAGAGAATAAAAAAACTAAACATCTGCTTACGTTTCGCATAATGGACAATGAGCGATACGCGCGCTCTATAGCATCTCAACTCTAAGGTTTGAGACGTCTATAACCTTAGTCTCTCCCGTGACAATGATTGCTGTAAAGCATTCGAAACGTCGCAAATTCGAAATCCGCGAAATAATCCGAAAAGATAGTTTTATTTAAAATGTCAAATATTCGCGTACATCTAAAAAAGCATTATCGTAATATGTTCTTATAGATAAATTCTCAGGATTATTTATTGAACTTGGCATCCATTTAAATCTCAACTCTTTTGTCCGCGAAGTCGACAACTGTGTAGGTATATTATTAATATTCAACTTGTCTACCATTTTCATATTTACGTTTAGGATGGGATAAACATGGCCAGGATTTTTAAATAATTCTTATCTTTTCTTAATCCCTCCGCGACCGCGGACACGCCGGCGTTACAGTTAACAATAGATTTCTTAGAAATGTCATTAATTCCTTAGAAATTTACCTGGAGGTGTTAATAAAAAAAAATTGCTGTGTAATAATTACAAAAATTTTAGATATAATTTGTTTACTCTTACTTACAATGTTTATATAGAACTATATAATAGCTTATAATATCTTCTTTATAAATAATAAATTATTTTAATGTATTTTTTATTGAAAAATAATATAATATAATATATCCTTTTTTCATTTATATTATTGTACCTATGTATCCCACACGAGATATAACAAAATAATTGTTAATTCTTGACTTTCATGCTTATTTTGTTAGGGAATGTCTTGGAATAACATTTTGTGCCAAAATATGAGATGCACTTATGAATAGTTCTGTATAACCGAAGGCTGTTTGGAAATCTTCTAAGCTGTAGCAAATAATTAACCCTTTGCTCATAATGTACCAATTAGGATTTCTCATCCATTCTGTTTCATGGCATATATCTTTACATGGTATATATTTTACTGCATCAGTTAGCGTCAATCTGGGTATGTTGATTTGAATAATAGCAAGCGCTTCGTCATTTTCAGGATTATGCAGTACCTGGTAAAAAAAATATTATTTAAAAAGTTATCAAATTATCTTAACATGTCTCTTTAATGAACTTAAAAATAGAATTTGTAAGGTATTTCATTAATTCACCTGTGGAAGAGCGTTATATAGAATTAGAAGATAATATTATATACCTTCCATAAATACGGCGATATCGGTTGTTCATTATATTCATCCGATAAGTATGTCGTTGTAATGTCTGTCGCCTTTATTGTTTGAGATGATCCTGTCCAAACCTCTAAATTCATATTGAGACTTTTCACGAGTTGTCTAACTCGGAGTTCTACTTCATCCCAGTTCTGAAATTAATTTGTTTGAGTTAAAAATACTTACTAAATTATAGGTGCATGATAATACTAGAGTCGTCAAAAATCACCATTTTGAAATTTGGTTATTTACGTACTCTTGTAAAAAAAAATTAATGTTCATGACCGCTTAGAAACGGAATATTATTAAAAGCTGCATACAGAGCATCATCTAATAATTACTTTTTCAATCACGGCTAAATTAAAAAAAATGATTTGCTCACTAGTGAATCTCTTTCATTTGAGATGGATTGGATGATGATGACATTTACCAATATACCGTTAGTTGCCGAAGATATAGCACGTAAAGTTATGATACTCGATATTGACCTTAATATTTTACATAAAATTAATTAACTTTTTAAGAGAATAAATGAGGTGTAAGATAAGAAGAGAATAATTAATAAAAATAATATGTGAAAAATATTTTTATAACATCTTACCTCTGTTCCACATGTACTCCAATGGGGTACTACATTTAAATAATTATATGTAGCTAGTTGAGGAAGACCAGGCAGAACGTCTTTAGGACTTACTAATTGTCTTTTAGTAAAACAACATGTATCATCAGCTGTGGTTGTTCGTAGAGTAACAAAAGCACGTAGCTGATTACTGCAGTTGTACATATAATCGAAATGAAATGGTAAATACTTGCTTTCCCTAAATTTGGTATCCAGTAAATCCTTCGGAATTACATTTGCAGAGGATGGATATAATTTATAATTTGCAAAAATAGGTACTTTTTTATCTTGGTCAATGCAAACATCATAAACGCCCAGAAATTCGGTTTGAATATTGAAGCCAACAGTAACCAACTGTGTATTTTCAGTTTGACTGCCTCGGTGGTGTAGTGGCTAGCATGTACGGCTGCACACTCGAAGGTCCTGGGTTCGAGTCCCGGGTCGGGCCAAGTTTAGTTATTGAGTCTTTCTGTATAGTAAGTCTCAGTAACAGCCCGGAGTTGGGAAGTTGGCGGTGTTTCACCCCCGTGCCTCGGAGAGCACGTAAAGCCGTCGGTCCTGCGCCTTAACTCTCACTGGTCGTGTCGAGAAGTCGTCCCACCGGAATAATGAGAGTGACAGGAATAGAGAGTGCGCTTGTGTCTGCGCGTACACTTGTGCACTATAATATCTCCTGCGCAGTTGGCTAGTCTCAATGAGATTGGCCGCCGTGGCCGGAATCGGCTAGGAGAACATCACATCATCATCATTTTCAGTTTCTAAACCGCAATTAGGTCCGATGAGTTTTGCTAATGGTTTATTTTCTTTAAAGCATTTCAAGTCTTTGAAGTCAACAATTTTACTATTTATTTTAAACTTTGAATTTTCTATGCATGTTGCTGTAACCTGTTCAGTAAAACTAGACGTTTTATCGGTTACATAGCTTCCTGGACAGAATAAGTGTATACGACGCAGTTTTGGTATTATTATAAAGCCCTCGATATTCTTAAATGGATACCACTGCTTTCTATTCGTCAAAATAAACGGTTGTTGTCCATTAAAATCATTTTCAACATTCAAAACACATTCTGAAATTAAACATATTAAGTTTATAGGAGTATATTTTTTATAAATTGAACTAGTTTGACTTAACATAATTTGTTATTATTTTACAAATAAAACACTGTTAATTAAACCGATTATATCAAATCAAATTCAAATGAAAACATACATACTTTATTCAAATAGATTTTTAACTCGTCAACTATATATTTTTAAATTTAATTTTAATTTACAATATACATATTATGTACAGTAATACCTTCCGGGAGTTGTAGGTTGATATTAAAAGTCCTTGTTATTTCACCAAATGCATTGCTTATTTTACACGTATAATTTCCAATATCACTGGGAGTCATTTCGAAATACCTTTCCATTGAAATTTCATCAATTTCACGGCCGTTGTGATACCATTTTACCTGAATAATTAAACACAAAATAGGTATAATATGATAATAATAAAAACTATCTGATGTATTACTCAGAACTAATGTGGAGCAATGCTATTAATTAATCTAAATCAAAAATATGATAATCGGATTGATCGAATGATTAAACGAAATATTTGTATTTTCGAATCTAAATTTGAATTTTATCTATTTTATTCCGACGGCGAAATAAGTATAACATTTGTTTCTTTTTTTGTTAATTAAACTATTGCATCTAAGAACAAAATTTTTAACCCAATAGATCTAAAGAATTTTAAGTTTAGATACGTACATTATTTTCGTTCTTTACACTTATAAGAATGTACCTATTAAAAAAATAATTCGTTAGGATTCGAAGTAAAAACATCTTGCACCATACAAAATCACATTTCATTCCAAAAAAACGTAGTTTTGTTTTTAGTAGGTACATAAAAAAAGACGCAGTTATTTTTTTTAAGCTGAAAAAAGTAATTTTTTTATATCTAATTATAGCACTAATAGCAACAGCCATAATTTAAATTAATTTAGAATCTAATGTATTTATTCTAAAATCTCATCAATTTTGTCCATATTAAGGTAAGTCAAATATTAATTCTTTATTATATCTATAAAAATAACCAGTTCGTTATATTCCCACATTAGGCAAATTAGACAAGTAGTGACCGAGGCTTTGCTCGCATTAGACTACCAAGAAATCAAATAAAGACTTGAAAGATAAGTGCTTCTTATTATTTCTTAAAGATTTATTTACGATTTCAAAGATGCGTCTAATAGTGCCAAAAATGTTGCTTACAATGCATTCATATTTTCCAATACAATCAATAGAAGTCATTTTAAAGTTAAAATGGGAGTTTTTTTCTAATATCTTTTTTGAAGCCTTAAACCATTTTATCTGTAAATATAAAAGTACGGAAAACAAGTGATTGCCGCTTATTGGATAGGTGAAAGAAAACATCAAGTGACATTTAGTCAATTACTCGTAGTACGTTCAAAGGTGAAACTTATAAAAAATTTTTAACAAAAAAATAAAAACCGACTTCAAACAAAAGCACTAAAAAGTAAAAAATAACTGATTGGTAGTTTTCATTTACTATACATACCTAATCAAATATTTTCGAAGTCGGTGTGCTTTGCTTTGTATGGGCTGGCACCGATTTCGAAAATATTTGATTAGGTATGTATTTAATAGGTAAGCTTTAAGGACTTAGCCAAAGCACACCGACTTCGAAAATATTTGATTAGGTATGTATAGTAAATGAAAACTACCAATAAGTTATTTTTTACTTTTTAGTGCTTTTGTTTGAAGTCGGTTTTTATTTTTTTGTTAAAAAAATTTTATTTTTCCCTTTTTAGTGTAGACAGTAGTAGCAAAATAAGAATTCTAACGTGTTAGGCTTGTCAAATAAAATAAAATAAGCCCAAACTCAAAGTATCTACTATTAGCCATTGAAGAGTTCCACCTATCCACCTTCTGGCCTTACCATCAGAACAGGTCAACAATACCGAACCACTGTACCATCAACGGAAATAGAAACACTTGCAAAGTTTCAAGTGAATACGACAATTAGAAGTAGGTTAAATTCATCATTAGTTATTTTTTCACCCTTAGGGGTGGTATTTTTTTTGAAATTTAAATGGGACCAATGTGGAAGTATACACTTTCAAACAACACCAAAATTGTCCAAATCGGTTAATAAATGACGAAGTTCTGAGGTAACAAACATAAAAAAAAAAAAAAAAAATACAGTCGAATTGAGAACCTCCTCCTTTTTGAAGTCGGTTGAAAATAAAAATAGTATTATTGGAGAAATGACGTATAAGGTAGTTACTTTACAAGTATTGTGAGTACAAGTGGACAAATAAATATCGGGGGGCACGGCAGTGCCCCCGCCAAGTCGAGCAAACAAGTCGAGCAAAAAAGGGCACGGCAGTACCATCCTTTTCTCGAAGGGATTCAGAGCATTTTCCACCCCCCCATAACTTCGTTATGGATAAAGCTAGAAGCTTGAATTTTGAGTGACTAAGAGAACATAATAAAACTAGGTACATTTCCAAATTACATTCAATTTGAACCAGTAGTTTATGAACTGTTGCAGATCAAAATTCGTTAATATCGTCACTCACTCACTCACCGATCATCAAAATTCTAAGGTACTTCTAGCAGACATAGAAGCTTCAAATTTTGAACACAATTCGTGTTTACTCTATAACCCAAGGAAAAATTCAAACATCACGCAATTTCAATCCTGTTTTCGAGATATACAACAAACTGCATCAGTAACTTTGTAATCCTATACAAATAGATATGCGATATATGGGATTACAAAGTTACTTGTGCAGTTCATACATATAATTGTCGTCACTTGCAATGTAAAAGGAGGTTAGGTTAGTGTTTAACCTGTATGTATGTTTGTATGTTCGATCCTATGTTCCCTCGTTATTACTAACCTAATCACGATTCGTCTATTAATTTATTAATTTTGATATTGCAACTATTGTATACATTAGAAAAATATTATTCAAATGTGAAAATATTATTTCAAGCGTTTTCAGTAGCTGTATACATTTTTATGCATATACAAATGGGTACATAAATACAACGTGAAGCGTGTATAGTGTATTACCAACTAATATTCGATTACCTGTTATTTATAATGAATTTATTAAAATATATACCTAATTACGACAAAACTTGACGATTACTTAATTTTTGACGACACGTTTGGCTCAGTTTGTAGTGGCCCGGCCCTACTTTCTGTGCCGGCGGTCGCGGGTTCGAGTCCCGCTGGGGGCATTCATTTGTGTGATGACTAAAGTTTGTACTCCAGTCATGGGTGTTTATATTTATAATATGTATGTATTTAAAGTTATATATGTGTAGTGTATCAACTATCTAGAATCCATAACACAAGCCTCGTAGCTTACCATGGAACTAGATGGTTCTGTGTGTTACTGTCCCAACATATTTTGAAACAAAGCTCGTATATTTTCTTTTATAAAGTATGATGTTGATTTGAATTAGAAAACTTGTTAACATTTCATTGCTCGGAACTGTACACACCTAATAGAACATGGAATATAGAGGTCATGAAATAACCAATGGAATCAGTGAATGAAGTGAGTTGGCAACCTCACTTTTCTATTAAACTGCATCAAAATTACTGAACAAGCAATAATAATTAAGTATAACAACCTTCAGGATTTACCTACGATGCCGCAGATAGACACATAAATCTACACGTTTTATTAAACTTACGTAAGTTCAATATCAGTATCGGGGTAGGTATTTAGGGTCAACAATGAAATTAAAATATTCATTAAATTAACTATACATATTTATACTTAATGCATAAGATCGTAGTAATTAAGCCCAGGAACCCGCAATTTCCGAATACAATAGACTTAGATTTTTTATCATCCAGACTTGTCAAAATTTGTTATATCAAAGCCTCTGAAAAAAGCCCACAGAGACAGGGAGTGGGCTTTTAAGAAGTCCTTAGCTGACACACAAGAAATATTACAAGAAAAGGGAAAAAGAAGAAATATTTACAAAAAGAAATGAGATCCCATCAAAAACATACTGTAAAAATATTGCAAGTCTCGCAACGCATCTCTCTACCGCAAAAAGCTATGAGATATAATGTAAAACCAAGTCGGTTAATTTATTCATTACCTATCTATGGAAGCATCTATCCGACA